GACCCAGCCAAACCAGCGAATGAGTGGCAAGTCGTACAGAACCGCACCCCCGCCGACTTGCAGCAATAGCAGTGCGAGGGCCAATCAGGGTGTTGCGGTCCTGCAACCCTTCCCTCCTTTCTCGCTGCACAGGATTTGAAGTTGGAACTTGGGTGATCTGGATGTCGCGCAATGTTAAGTGAAAGAATGAGTATCTGGTGTCGGCGGCCGAGGGGAGTCTGAATAGTGAGAGAAAGGAAGGGGTGTATGAGAGTTTGATGGCGTCTGCAACGATTATAATAAGGAAGCTTTTGGAAACTTACAAAACCCTGGAGCGATTTGTCAAGTGAAGCAAATTCCATGAGAAAAAAGTCCAAATCATGAAATCGAAAGTGTAGGTAGATATTCAGCTGGACCTGCCCCATCCGCTTCCCGTATCAAATACCATCAGATAGGTAGCGACCAGGCGACCTACCTTGCAGCGGTTGCCCTGGAGTGGAGGCACTTCGTAGCTCTAGTGTATGCATGGAAGGTGATTCCCTTGCGTCAACGCAGAGCGAGCGAACAGGCAGAAAGGGGAGAAGTGCGCAAAAAGCGAACCCGGTCCGCTAACTGCCGGAATTCCCCAATCGCACCAAATCCCACGGACGCACCGGCAATTTCTGTTACTCCATCGAGTACCGGCGACTCCCGCTCGACCTCGCTCCCGTCTGATGTGGGAAGGAACAGAAATCCGGTGGCAGCAAAGCGTCACCTCCTTCAAAACTCATCGACACCCACGCTTTCGTCTCAATCCTTCCTTTTTCTCTGACCAGCACAGCAGCCATGTATTCCTCCAAGATCTAAGACGATCGCGACTCAAGTTTTTCCCAAATTTGTAGTCTGCGTGATAGATTCTGGTGTATTTGCACGCCTCTTTTTCTTTTACGCCCACGTCGTCACAACCGCCATCATCGCCAACAAATAACCAAAAGCTCTTTTTAATCTACCAAAAAGTTTCCCACCCTCGCAATTGTTCCCAGTCTCTCCCAGGCCCCGTCCCAATTTGTGCGTCGCTGCCTGGTGTTTGTCTGAAGCCGTATTCTCCTTTTCTGTGCGGCATTCGCTGGAGCCTGCGACAAAAGGAAAATCAACAAGGACCAAACGAGTGGAAGAGCCCAGGCCAGTCAGTCATAGATCGTCAGGGTTTTCAACAAGAGACACACCACCAAAACGACAACTGCCTATTCTCGCATTCATCACCAGACCGAATCGGTGATTTAGCGACTCGCTTCCCTCTGCTGAAGACGGCGAGAAGACTCACTCCTTAGCACACAACACCACCTGCCCCTACGACAAAGAAGCACGGCAGAGGCAAACAGGTTCTTTTTCTTCACCTGCTCCATCAAGACAATCACTGCCTCATTATTACTCACCGCAACGTCAATTGCCCACTCGCCACAATCGAGCCTACACTCCATACTAAAAACAGCCAAACGAGATCCATTTTCAGGCTTCCGTCTTGGGACGCTTGGTCACACCACTAAAAGTGCGCTGAAGGAAGCCCAAAAAAGGTGTTAGCACACGCACCAGTCACCACCCACAAAGAACATCCCTTCCCCCATCCACATCGCACATTGCGCCAGGTGAACGCCCTGCCAGTTGCAGCCACCTGTTACCCTCCTTAACAAATCTCCGATCCGCTGTAATTGTCTTCCGGCGGCAGAGAGAATTAATCGAATCAATTCCCTTCTGTTAGGTTAGGTTGCTAGGGCTCCCTCGCCACCCAAGCCAGCGCGTGCGAAAAAGGGAAGAGTCATCATCAGCAGCAAGAGGAGACTGGGCACGGCAGACCAGGGTCGCCCCCCATCCGGTTCCAATCAGGTCCCCATCAGGCCCAGCAGTGTCAGCGGTCCAGCGCAAGACGGGACCCGCCCATCAGGTCTCTATCGCAGTCCAAGTCCAAGTCACTCACAGTGCCCGCAGGCAGCTGGCCGAGTCTTTTTGCTGTTCGCCGCCCCGATCCCAGAAGGATAAGGACACGCGCCCGCGAAGAGTCACCCCTTCTCGCCTACTCCCATCCGACAACGGGGGGTGCATCGTCACCACCACACATCGCCGTCCACGCCTTTTAAAACAAGCCGACCAGACACGTCGTCTGCCTCCCCACACCGAGCCAGCTTCTCAGTCTGTACCTTGCATATCCAGTCTGCACGGCGTCACCATCACCAACCCACACCGACATCACCATCGCATCGCAACCACCTCATCACACACGCTAACCGCAACCACCAATACTACCACTACCACAAAAACAACAACACTCCTTGCCTTTCCCGACTCGAACATATTCAACCGTCTTCACGCCTTTAACGACGATAAAGTCTTCAACGAATCATAACCACCTCGAAACGATATTGTACTTCCGATAACACCATTCCGAGTTGCGCATATGGTAGCATACTAAGCCTACCATAAGCACCCCCCCTTTCGCCCCCGTTCAACCTCGGCGAAATCATCCACGAAACGATGCATCTTGCGCTCAAACACACTACTCCAGTCGCCGTCTCTGTCGTATCTTCCGGTCTGTTCTTCCATCGTAGAACCTTGAGATCCTGCGCTTTGCTGCTCTAGGATATCCTTTCTACTCTTCGACATACTTTGCTTTGCCTTGTTGGTGAAGCTTGCATCTCGATAGGTTCACGATCTGTTCAATACCCCAACGATCTAATCGGTCGATACTACAACAAGACGGCGACTGGAGGTACTTGGTTTTGCTTTCAACCACCATAAGTGCACCATGAATTTCAGCAGCGAACGTCGCGTGCACCCCCGCTGCAGCTCGCTTCTTCGAAACGCCTCATATCCCACTACCACCTCAACCTCCTACGCCTCCGTCGATTCCCTTTTCTCGGTCTCTTCTTTAATCTCGGTGCCGTCCAACACTACTTTGTCCCAAGACTCGGATGATTCCCGCTCGAGCGCATCCGACACTGAACAATCTTACCGCACCTTTTCTTTTCCCACGCAGTTTTCGAACTTGTCGCAAACTTCCATCAGCTCTGTCGAGAGCCTTTGTGAACCGTCCGTAAAGCATGTTAGCCACTGGCAAAAGAGTTGTGCTGAACAGGCCAAGGGCAACCGTCTTTTGAGACAAAACCCCCGGCGCACAAACCGCTCAGCGACCTCTCGTACTGGACATCCGCCCTCTCTAGTGAGACAAGATGACCGCAAAGTTAACTTCGTTGACACCGTTGTCGGTAAGGAGTATCTACTACTGGTTTTCGCGATGGACATATACTCAAATATCTTTCTTAGATGCAGCCACCTTGACCGTCGAAGCCATTTGGCCTTTGTCCTCAGCCTGCCCTCGCAACGGCAATGGAGCGAATCCGGGGCTTTCGCTGCGCCAGTTCATCCAGGAGACGCTCAAGCGCTCGCGTTCCAGCTATTCCACCTTGACGGTCGCACTGTACTACTTGATCCTGATCAAGCCCCACATCCCTGCCTGCGACTTCACCATGGAACAGCCCCGCGATTGCCTCGAGAACCCGGGTCTCCAGTGTGGGCGCCGCATGTTCCTTGCGGCTCTGATTTTGGCTTCCAAGTATCTTCAGGACAGGAACTACTCGGCAAAGGCTTGGAGCAAGATCTCTGGCCTTAATGTCAAGGAGATCAACCAGAATGAGATGGCTTTTCTCTTGGCGGTTAACTGGAAGCTGCACATCCCCGACCACTTATATGAGCGGTGGACTGAGTGCATGGCCAAGCTCAATCTGTCACTTCCACCCTGCTCTGGTTCTGCAGCCCAGCAGATCTATCAGCAGCAATGCGCCAACTACAAGACCGCTGTCTGCAAGTTGACTCCAGAGTTGGATAACGTCGAGGAAGTGGCCTCCTGGTTCCAGCAGAGATCGCCTGTTGCTGTGCCGACTGTCGCCAGATCGCTCTATACGCCTCCGTTCGAGCGTTCTTCCCCTTTCGAGAGCAAGACTGAGTGTCGCGCTAGAGTTCCGGCTCCGATGGCAACTCCTGCTGTTATGGAACCGAGCCCTTTCGCCGTTCAAGCGGAGTGCCGCATGGCTCCGGCGCTTGGTTTGCTCCCGAGCCCCCGTCCCACCCCTCAGCTGCGTGCAATGACCAGTACTCCTGCAGTGAGCGCTGTGTCTTGTCTTCTTGCAAAGGGCTCGTCGATGGGATACGCTATGCATCAGGCTTCGCACGCAACGGCTGCTCAGGTCTCGGATCGGTGGCCTTCGGCTGCATCTCCCCCCTATCTTACCCGCCGCTCGTCTCTTGCCAACAGCGTTTCTACTGCGTCTTCCCCCGAATCCATGATTTCCGATTCGTCGCAACTGTCTCGATCTTCTTCTTTCTCCGCTACTTCTGTGGAGAGTGCGCCGTCGTCCGACTCGGATGCTCAGGCGCGCTACCAATATGGAAAGCAGGATGGTGAGAAGTATGGTCTTCAGCCAATTATTGTTTCGGCCCATGAGACCTATGGGGGCAACACCTTGACACTTTCGCCCGAGTCCTGCTACATGGATCCAGCGGGCCAGAACCTCAATGATTACAAGGTCGCTGCACTTGCTCTTCAAGACTTGCGCCGTCAGGGCAGCGATCTTCCGGCTAGAGCGGGAATGAAGCGTGCTAGGGCTCCTTCTACCGACAAGCCTTTGCAGGACAACGTTCGCGACCTTCTTTCTGGCATGGACTCTGTGAGACCATCTCGCCAGATGCCGGTCCGCTCCTTCTCCGAGGAGAGTTACAAACGGCTCTGTTTCTCGGTGGAAGACGCTCGGCCTGCAATCTCGTCCCTCCATCCTGCCATGGGTGGCATCGGTGGTCCCGGGATGTGGGATGGGATTCTTTGCTAAGCAGTTGCGATTACCATTCGAAATATCCTTTACGTTACGTCACGTTCGCATCTAGCAGCACATTTTATCTACTACCTGCCTTTGTGACAAGCTTATAATTCCATATGTTCACTTGGGGAAAAATGGAAGGCGGCGCGCTGGAGTTAAGTTTTGCAGTCCAACCTTGGAAACATCAAGCTAGACGGCTTAGATGGAGCACCCAAGGGAACAGGCTAAAAGCACTTTTTTCATGCATTATCCTGGATCTGGGAAATGGCATTGGGATGGTTGGGCTCGTGCTTTGTTTTACCTTTTTGCGCTGGCGAACCGGTGGTTGTAGTTTAGTGTACGATGAGGAGCGGTGGTTGTGTCCGGTTGTTGTGTTTACAGTCTTTTTCTTTTTCTTTTTTTTTGTTTCCCCTTTCGTTTATCTGGCACGATGATATCCGCGTCTTCTGGACGCTTGGCGAATTCAGGGCATGGGAGGCAAGCACATGGAACGTCCTTTATGAACATAATGGATCTGGAGGAGCATATATCTTTACAACTGCAACCAGGAGCAGGGCGCAAAGGCAGCGCATACGAACAAACACAACAGAGAAACCTTGGCTTGGGATTATCCGACAACGGCTTTCACTCGCGGACGACCAAACCGACGAAGTCGAATGGCTTGCCAGGTTCCTGAACACCCTCGCTATGCTTAAGAAGCCATACTTGGCAACCCACACGAATAAGATTTGGGATCTTGAATTTCACACATTCCTTGGAACCGCTCTCGAACCTCCTCCGTCCGTCCCTTCGTTAAACACACGCACGCACCGAGAACATCGAAACCTTCGTATCATCGGTCGATCGTCGAGTTTTAGTTTACAAGCAAACAAAATGGAGCTATACAGACAAGCACACACACCCGGTTGCTTAACCAGCCGGATGGGTCTAGTTGCAAACTTATCAAAATCGAACACCTTAATAAACACAAATGTGTTCTGACATGCTTTTTTGCACAGATTCAAAGATTTTGCACACCGTGCCCGCTCGTTCTGCCTCCTTTTACGTGCCTGCGCCAACCGTTCGCAACCAGAGAGAAAGGAAATGTGAGCCAAATAAGAACAAACCGAGCTTGATCACGAGACTAAAGACGCGGAGAGGCCTACCGAGCCGCGACGGGAATCACGACACGACACGAGATCCCAGTACGGACCGATCAATGAACGATGAGGATGACTTGATGCCAAGCAAGTGAGGTAAGTGACTGGTAAGTTTGTTTGTCCGTTTGTCATGGTCGTAAGACTTTCGTGGGTCTCATCCACTTTGGTTCTCACTCACGTATTCACTCATTCACTCACTCATCGTTCGCCATCCGGATCTCATGGAACAAACCTCACCGGAACGGACGGATCGCAAACCCCAAGTGAGGTTGCCGTCCGACTCTTCGTTTTTGAGATCGCGCCACGTGCTGTTGTTCTGTGGCACACAGCGGGAAAACTCTTCAAACTCACCGCCGTTGTCTCCCATGTATGACTGGTTGGGCCCTCGAGCCGTTCATAGCCGGCCATTCCCTCCACTTAAGATCAATCAAGATGTGGAAGGTTTGACCTACGGATAAGGCAGGCACGAGGGTGAAGGCTCGTGAGGCATGTGAAACCTGACAGGCTCAGATTCCAAACGTTTTTTGCCTCCTCATTTCGGTTCATCGTTCACACGATCCTCGCGATCCAATAGTGTGCTGTAGCATGTCTAGTGGCATCTTCTGTCTCATTATACTTTGACAGTTGCTCAGAGCATCAGGAGCCCGCCCTCATTCGCGTCTCGAGTGGGCAAACGAACCATCTAACCAGTCATGCCTACTGGGATGGAAGTGTAAGGGTCCCCGAAAGTTCGGAGCCACGGAGCTTCAATCCCGAACTCGAGGCGAGACAGGACATGAGACTCACAGAAGCATGCCATATTCAGACACAAACTTGTGCGTGAGTGGCCGAGTGAGTCACGCCGGAAGAGGTCGGAACATCTCCGATATCTGTTTTAAACTTATACACTACACATGTGCACACGAGCACGCATGAGCCAGGAGTTCCTCCGGACCGGAGTACCCTGCGATCCATTGATCGCCACCTAGTCTGCCTGATTGAGACCCACTTGGTTTCTTGTTAGTTGATACTTGCCTTGGCAGTTGGTGGTGATGAAGATGATATTGGGGTCAGTTCGCGTACCATGACCCTCTTTTCACTTACTTGTCTGTTGTCGGACCGTCGTCAGTGGTGATACTGTGGTTGGTGAGACTGGGAATTCAACTTCATGGACCCGTCCTGGGCTAGCTGCCGGGTGGCCGGAACTATTGGGGTTCCTAGGGTCATTGGAATCATTGAATCAGGACCGGGACGTCGTGTTGCTTGCTTACACCACTGTGTCTTGTCGACACTAGGATACTGCTACCACTACATGACCTGTCATTGTTGATATTGTTGTGGACTAGCTCGGTTGCTGGTTATAGTCGCTGGTAGCTGGCTCTGGGGACTACAGAGTCCACCACCCTAGTATGCACAAGCTGTCCAGCCGATGGGGAAATGTTTGTACGACGGAAATGCAGCAATGACTTAAAGATTCCCAGGATGTTTATTATCTCCTCGAGCTGTCCTTGATTGGACCTACCGACTACTATTTGTTATGAAAAAAAATAAATCAAAAAATTTATCAACACCACCCTTCTTCCCATCCCGGTTCGATAGTCTCCCCAGAGAGGCATTTTGTGCTCGGGGTTATCGAGTGTTGATGGCTGGCTTAGGGATGGGGGCATCAGCTGAACTTGATTCCTACAGCTTTCCAAGACGACGCTGGTGCCCTGTCTGGTCTTGTCTCACATTCCCTCTCACCTTGTCTAGGTTCAAGCTGTCAATAAACGGAGCGATGATGGGCATGTGATTGATTGAAAGGGGTTGCAGTTGAGTGTGAAGATAACCGGAAGAGAGGGAAGAGAGACACACAGAGAGAGCAGGAAGAACTTTCCTGTGGTAAGAGACTGACCAAGGGGAAAGTGGCTGGCTGGCTGTCTGGATGGCTGGCTGTGGAGATAGATAGGTAGTTGGGGAACGGTCAATGTGTTGATTACCTACCTAGGTAGGTTGTTAGTTGATATTTGATGCTGGAACATTGATACTCTACTCATGCACTTGCGCCATGCACTACAAGGAATGGACGTTAGTTGTAATATAAGTTGGATATTAGTGTGGAAACTTAAGCCTGTAAATTATGGCTTTGCTTGGTCTCGTACTCGACCTATGTATCCGGGTTACTGAAAAGAAGGTCAAAGATGTATGTTTGGGGGGTTCGGTGGTGGACAGTCTAAACCTGGGTTGTGTTTGTCACTTCGATACCAGGTACGTTGGGTCAACTTCCTTTGGCGTTTTGGTGTGTAATTCATGCCTTTTGTTCTATGATTAAACCTGGTGAATGTTCCAGACGCTGTTTTTGATATTGAATTTGTTATGGTTATTCATGTCATTGTATTTCCGATCCGCACATGGACATTTCGAACTGGTACTTTATCATTTTGATACGTCCTATAAGGTTTGGAATAGATCGGGGTGAATCTCTCCTGAAATATTGGGTATACTCTACTCACAGATACACTAACTAGGATTGGATTGGATTGGATTGTAAGTGGAACAGGCCAGAAAGAGGTACAAGGTGTCTACTCTGGTGGGCGTCAAGCATTGTGAGGGCGGTTGTGTGGATTGGTCTTAGTTGTGGTATGACGCTGTGGGAGTTGGGACCCAAAGGCGATGCGTAAGGTGAGAGTTGCCTGGGCATTACGAGGTCTTTGTCTGCAGAAAAATCGAAGCCCAGTAGCAGTTCTGGTTGATCCGGTCTGATCTAGCTGGGTGTCTTGTTGTGTGAATGGAGCTATAGCTGCGTTGATAATACCTGTGTGGCTTTTTTTTCACAAGTGACTGATAATCCAAGAAGCTGTCTTTCAACATAATTGAATCGCAATTAGAGATATTACGCTGTAGGTGAGGGCAGTATCTGTAAGTCTACAATGAGTTGCACTGCAGAATACGAGGAGATGTGAGGGAGAGAAAATGAATGAGAACTTCATTGTCATGTGGAAAGGAAATATATGCGTATGGTAGATATTCAAGTGGCAATGTCGATATATTGACCTGGCTTATATCGGGAATATCGGAGGGTCCTCTAGCAGTCTTTCGTAAAACTGTTCTTCGATCTCGTCTACCGTTTCACCCTTTAATAAGCCTAGCTCGTCGTTCACATAATCGAGTCGTCGTATTCGTCTACTTCGATGGCTTTAGGCAGATCCGCAAGAACCATCTCTCTCAGGACGAAAGACCTGTCCAATTTTATCGCTTCCTTCAACGTGAAACGGTCCTCCAGGACGTCGAATTCAGACACTGCCTTTCTTCCTCCGGGATGGAGGGGAAGATCACTGTGTTGCTACATGCAGCCTATGACCAGGATGAACAATGCTTAGCCAGACCATAATCCAGCTCAAGCCTTAGGGGGGCGTGACGCTGTGGTATCCGCCAACATAGTTGCTTTTCAGAAAAAATCCCAATCTTCCATGGGACTGATGGAATATTGACCGACTACTGATGTATCGTACACAAGACGGCGTGCTATGTCCCAAGTGGCGATGGGGCAACAAGCAATAGTAACGTTCCTGAGTACCCCAAAGGTCCACATAACCCGTATGGCGAAGTAGGCCCTCTATCTGGCGGAAACTGCCCGACAATATGGTGCAAAAGTGACTTCCATCGTCCATCATGACCGAGGTTAGGTACCATTGCAGTGCACTTGCTGAAGTGGAAATGGAAGGAATCACCCCACTCGACACCATCATCCCTTCACTCCTTCCTCAAGAATGATGTGACATCCTCCACTATCCGGAAAACGACCCAAAAGAAGAGGGTTTTGTAGCCCTAAACGCCGGTCCTAGCGCTGCACTCTGCGGTGTCATGGGCAGAGGCGGGAGTGATTGCATCTCCGTCTGCATTTGCTGCAACCTCCTCGCCGCCGGCGTTCCCGCTCGAACAGTGCTTATGTCTCTCGTCCTGGGACTGATGCTTCTTTCCCGTGCTCTGTCGCGCTCTCTCATCCGCACCATAGGTTTATCCTGCCCCTGTGATCTGGTGACAGGCGGCACAACGGGCTGAACTTGCTGCTGCTGCTGCTGTTGTTGCACATGTATCTGCCTCCTGACGATGACACTCAATTCGGCTGCGTCCTTGAGTCCTCGCGATATATTTCCAAGCTGCTTGAGCGTTTCTGGTGGTAATGAAAGTTTCGAGTTGAGCTCTGCCGTTTCCTTCCTCGCCCCCTCTGCTGCCGAAGCCTTCGACTTCACTAACACCGTCTTCAACAGATCCCCAAACTCAGCCCAAGCCGTGTATAAACCCTCACATACATCCCAAAAAGAAACCGATGCCGATCCGTGGCCCGAGCCACTCCGTGTCTGATTTCCTCGTGCACTAGAAGGAGGGGAGAACAATGCCGGGTCGCCGACCCTCAAAGTGGACAACCTCTCCCGCAAAGCTTCCGTTTGTTTCTGCACTTTGACACCACTGTTCAAGAGGACGGTCCAGGCCTTTGCTGCTTCCCTCAGTGCTGGACTAGAGTGAACCTGGTGATGGTAGTACGCAAACAAGGAGTTCAGCGGTGGGATGGTGTGAAAGATCTGGGAGGTTGCTGACTTCAATTTCAAGAAAAGCACATCGAACGGCGCATCAGTCGGATCTGGTGCGGCATTATTAGACATATGTGAAGGGGTGAGCGAGGAGAAAGATGGAAGAGAAAACGAGGTGGCAGTGGGAGGTGGCTCTGGAGTTATCGGTATCGGCTGGATATCCAGTTTCGCTACCCTTGTCGACGCTGTGGTAACGCCGATGCTCTTTGCAGAGGTGAAAGTTGGAGCCGAATCCGTCGTGGCCACTGCTATTGCCCGTGTTGGAGCGCCCCCTGGCCCAGGATAAGGTAAGTCCGTCCTGACTTGCATGTTGACACCCCCTCGAGCAGACTCAAGGCCACCCGGGGGTTTGGGGCTTTTAAAAGACGATAATGGGGTATGGTTCCTCGTTGAACCTCTTCTAAACGGCGTTAGAAGTGTGGACCATGGTGTCCGACGTCGGGGTTTGAGCGTCGCTGCCGCGTCAATGTCAGGCGCTGGAGGTGATCCCATGGTTGCGCGGAGCTCCATGATGCTGTGGTACACAAGCATGAGGAAGGTTCGAAGGTACCTCTCATCCCCAATATCCACGAACATGTCGATATGGCCGCTAAGCTCACCACATATCTGGCTGTAGGCGCTAACGAGCCTTGACAGCGCCTGCTGAAGAGACCATTGATTCGGACAGCCAACACCACGTGTGCCAGTCATGAGATCCAAAGCATGGATAGCTTGTTCCAGCTCATGGAAGTGGAAACTGGCTTTCTCAAGAGCGGCTTCGAGGTTGGATCCAGCCCCATGGTTGACGACAAAATTCGACATGCTCTGAACAGCTGAATGGACTTGTGATATCGAGTAGAGAACACCGCGAGCGACCTCAAGAAGCGGATCACGGCTCTGAGAAGCATCTCGGCGCACTGGAAGGACTGCCAGTTCCCAGACGCTGGAGGGTGTTCCAAGTGTCGCGCTTTCTCGTCTGAAAGGGTTGGTGAACACCGGACTGTTTCCAACTCGACTTGCTCCACGAGATTGACTTCTGATTAATACCCTAGAGACCGGCTGAATCGTGTTCCCGGCAGCAATATTAGCCACAGGCCTTTCCTCCTCCGCCAAAGACATAGCCCGTCCCAACTGAGTCCGAGTCACATGGGCCCCATTTGGCTTCAGACCTCGAGAAAATCTAGGAGGCACCGAACTGCTCCTCGACCCCGCACCCTTGGATCTTTGTAAGGCAAGGGGTATCAATCCCAGTTTTTTGTTGACCAAGGACGGGCTTTGGGATACGCCCCTGAAGTGCGATCTCTGGGGAATGGGCGGTGGTTTCGAATCCGCGGGGCGAACCACGGCAACCGTAGATGTTATTGTCGACGAAGAACTAACGCTGGTGCCATTGACACGGATAGGAAACCGCCCGTTGCCCGTTGCTCGTCTTTCCATTGGCCTGTGTGCCTTGGGATCTTCGGCCAGGTTAGCATCGCAATCGCCATTGCTCATTTCTCCAAGTCCATATCGTCGAGTAGAGGTAGGCACCAAAGGCTGCTGAGCTTCCGCGGAAAGGCCCGAAACACCCTCAGGCGAAGTCACGATTGAGTCCGCCATCATTTCGTTCTCTTGTTCTGTTCGCGTTCATCCATGCAGTGATGACCGCTGGTTGAATCCAAATCCTTCCAGAAATGGTTGGAGAAAAAAAAAACTCGCCGACGGAACTACGGCTATCCTTGCATGCTTAAATCCTTCCTAGGCAGAATTCAAGCCCCATCGATCCGACCTCACGGTAGGCAGCCGGGCGGGAAATGACACCGTTATACATGGTACTTTCTCTTTCCTTCCTTTCTGCCCAACAATTTTTGGTACGCGCCAATGAAACACTTGGTTCCATCCTGTCACCCCTCCATCTTGTGGGATGGAACCGAGCCGTGTGGTCAGCTTCGGTATGGTTAGTTCCCTATAGGGCGGCAGCGGCTTGACAGCTGACAGTGGCATATGTGAAAATCCATCAGATATAGTGTCTAGGGTGACACAGTGACATTGCTTCTGCCCGTTGATCTCTTGTTTTTGTGCTTGATTGAGCCGTGGTTTGTAAGTAATCCAGGTGCCAAACAACCGAGCCGAAAAAGTCTCACATTGGACGAACCAATCGCAAAGAAACATATATAAAGAAAAACGGTGTGGCTGTGCAGTCGAGTACTGGTTTGTTTGTCAGCTCGAGACCTCGGGTCAACTCCCTAAGACGTTTTTATATCAAATCAATCAGTTTTGTATCATGACCAAAGCGTGATCTTACCTTGAATATGCTCTTTCCGAAATTCAACATGTCTATTGAATTTTGTTTATAGCTTTCTGGACCATACCTGGCCATTTACTTTATGTCTGTGAGGCTTAGGAGAACTCGGGACGGATCATGTCCAGTAGACCAGAAGTACCAAGTTAACAAACAAACAAACCGGCATTAGATTGTAACTCGAAATTGAATATTCCAGCTGTTGGGTAGGTATGCACAGGCTGGTAGTACACGCAGAACGTCTGGCGTGGATAGAAGCATGATATAGAGCAAATAAGTGATATCCAAGAAAACGCACGCCCGTCTACCATGCATCCCAGCATGGTACTAAATATAATAGCAAAACGTACTTTCAGTTCACCAAATTGTTTAGTTGCGTCAGCCCATCTTAGAGATCCTCCTCCACGCCATAACCTTCATTCTTCCCACCCTGAACAACCACCCACCCCTTTTCCTTCTCAGCCTGCTGCTGCTGCTGTTTCTCGCCCTCATCCTCGCCATCACTGTCACTTCCCTCATCATCACCATCCTCAGGCTTCTCATGCTTCGGAGGAGGGTGATGAGGTCCACCGTGGTGCCCCTCCCACTCCCCCGGCAACCTAATCCCTTCCCACTCCTCTTTTGTCACCTTCTTCCACTCATCAACAGGGATCCAGCCGATATAAGCGCGATCGCCGAACCCGCCAATCCAGTACACGTGCGTCACCACCAGCCGAACAAAGTGCGACTCGTGGATCCGGTTGCCCGGGAGCCACCACTTGGCGTCCGGGTGGACCTTGGTGAAGCACGAGGCGAGTTGCGCGCCGATGGAACCTTCTTGGCTGCGGTCGTCGCCGCCTTCGATCTTTTCAACGTAGCCTAGGAGGGAGAAGCGTGGGAGGGCAGCGGGGGAGAAAGGGCGGCGGGGAGGAGGAGGGGGAGGGGGAGGGTGGTGAGGGCGCTTCTTTTTGTGGTCCTTGTGCTTTTTGTCTTTGTGGTCCTTTTGATCTTTATGTTTTTTGTGGTCGCGGTCCTCGTCGTCGTCATCATCACCATGGTGAGGAGGCTTCTTGGGCCCATGTGGAGGAGGGCCATGGGGAGGCCAACGATGATGAGGAGGAGGAGGGGGAGGAGGGGTCCACTGCACTGCCAACGAAACATTGCTGCCGGCGGCAATGTTCTTGAACGAGGTCTCGATGCTGATGGCTAGTAGCGTCGGGTTGCCGACATCGTTGGTTGCGTACTCGCAGTCTGAAATGTACTCCATCAAACCATGGGGCATGCCGGCCACCTCGGCGGGTCGGTTCTCCTGCAGCTTTGGGTTTCTCTTTTCTTCTTCGGTCATGATGGAAGAGGAGTTGGAGGCCGGGAAGATGGTGGCCAGAGTGCCGAGGGGGGTGAGCGCGAGGATGCGCCGCGCCATGACGGCAGACTCGTACGAGGTTGGAATCCGCGGCCTGGATGGCTGCGATGGCTTGGACTCATGTTCACCCGGCACGGCGACGGCGGCCGCGGCGGTGAAGAGTGCGCTCAAGGCGATGGGCTTCATGGTGGGTGACGCTGGTGGTGGTGGCTGCCGAACAAAGGGCGCCGATGATAGCTCGAGGTTTCACAGTGTAAGTCCGGTACTTGTCTGGATCAGTGATGTAAAGCGCTGATACTTGGGAAGATGTAGGTCCAAATGGGAAGAATATCAAGAATGAACACAGTCTTTTTTGCTAATTCCACTCTTGAGGTGTAAGTCCTGGTGTCGAACTGAAATATCAAGAGAGAAGGTCAACAAACGGGAGACAAAAAGACGGGAGCAGCTCCAGTCCGATAGACTTCGGGGGTCTGGATTGGGGGGCGACCTCGTAGGGCGGTTAGCGGGCCGCGTCTTCATTCTCCACTTATTGAGTGCTCTGTGACGTGACTGGTCAGGTCTGAGCATGGTGGCCGGTGTAAGTGAGGTGGGAGTCGCCAGCACTTCAAGCTTCAAAGGCCCTGCCAGGTCACTGTGAGGAATCAAAGAAGTGTTGCCCGTGCCGTTGTTGCCGTACAACACACTCCCTCTAGAGGTCGATGTGTGTACACATGACTGGCGATAATTCGCTTTGCTGTTTGTCGTGCCGACGAACGGATGCTGAAAGTAAGTTTGAATGGAAATGTGACAATTTAAATACGACACTCGCTCAGACGATTACGAATACCACTCATGACAGGGCTGTCAGTGTTCTTTGCAGCCGAGAGTTTGGGCCCACATGTCTCCCAAGAGGACGCGCAATCATGTGCTTCAAGTTGCTTCCTTTAGCTGATAGGCGATAAGAGTTCCGCCAACTGCCAAGACGCCAAGAAATGGCCCGCCACAGCAAACCTACGCCTTCGCCACCTCACGTGAGCCACGAAAAATCGCTGTGCCGGAGAGGAGGCGAGCGCACGGTTTGAGCCCCAATGACGAGCCCCGCAGCTCCCACAATTAATCGCTAAATCCAGTCCGCCCAGGTCAGTATTCCTGCCAGTCTCGATTTTTGCTCCCCTTTTGACGGCAAGAGGCCTTACCACTTCGACAACCACAGCAGTCTTCTCGCGCCCACCGCAATAACCGAAAATGGGAAAGGTTCACGGAAGGTATGTTGTTTTCGCTTGCCAGGCTTCATGCCCGTTTTCCTGTTGATGTGATGATGATGAACAGCCATGCTAATGATGATTGAACAGTTTGGCCCGTGCCGGTATGTTGCTCTCCCCGTGATGTTCATGTTGTCCCATCACCATCATCACCGCCATCACAACCCCGCCGATTGTCATCGACGATGAAGACAACAATATCGAAAAGCACGAGATGATGGATTTCGAATGTTACGACCCCTGCCCACACCCAAACACCGAAGACAAAAAACCGATCTTGACAACCGATGAGAACACCAAATCTGACGAATCCGCAATACAGGCAAGGTCAAGTCTCAGACCCCTAAGGTCGAGAAGCAGGAGAAGAAGAAGACTCCTAAGGGCCGCGCCAAGAAGAGACTCGTTTACACTCGCCGTTTCGTCAACGTCACCATGACTGGCGGCAAGCGCAAGGTCAGTTCCAACCGGCAGAGCAGTCTAGCCTGGCAGATCTCGGGACCGCGAGAATCTCGAAAGCGGACATGCAACCAGAGAACGGAACAAAACTGACATGATGGGCAAAACAGATGAACCCCAACCCCGGCTCTTAGATTACCCCAACCCGCAAACCATGAAGCTTCCGTCGCGATGACAACTTTCTTCTCTCCGGCGACAAAGTTAGCGAGCTAAAAGAATCCCATCAAACCCTTTTCTTTCCCCGCGTCACCACGATGAACGAACTTTTGACGATGACGAACGAACAACAAGACAACGCCGGAAGGGACTGTACTGTGTGCTTGTATCTTTTTCTTGGGATCCCTGGAAACAGGGCGATCCCAAGATTAAGGTTCGGGGAATAAGGGCGAAAAAAAAAAGCAAGCAAACTTTTTTTTAGGGCGTCTGTGATTGGGATGGGATGCTGTGTTTCTGGGTGTGGTATGGGTGGACTGGAGTCTACGGACGAAAGTCTACTTCAAGGCCAACAATGTCTGAGAAAACGTAAAACAGAAATGCGATTTTCCAGGCAACACATGATTCTCGGTTCTTCGTGATTCATTGAATGGGAATGTCACAGATAAGCATGCACGGCCGTTGTTTTCATTCCATCATCTCTGTAACATACAGGTATGCGTAACTCACCTTGGCCTTTTCAACTCGCCCCATCAAAGATGAAAGAAGATTAAAAAGACAACAAGGTTCTCATTCACTGCAAATAAATACCTTCTCCGGATCTACCAAACCCCGGACGACCATGACGTAGCTTTTGTACCCAAACATATTGATCAAAGAGAAAACAGCCCACGAGATTCTCGACTAAGCGTACTTTCGCTACAATATGCACACATAGATGCCAAAACTTCGAAATACCAATACTGTCATTGCGATGCTGACTGAATCTCCCCTTCACTCTACTGCATTTCTCTTTCCAAGATTTTTAATTAACCGCATTTTCGATATATGACTAACTGAGTGTATGCGTACATCATACCGCTCTCCGCTTTTCATCCGAGGTAAGTTCCTGCCCATGTCCTCCCGTGACATTGTATCATACCACGACTATACTACAAACATACCACTTTCATCCATCACTCACTCCCTCCACCCACTCCCTCCACTCATTCCCTCAAACACCCCCCGCCTTCAAGCACCAGGCGTACCACTCCTCCCCCTCCTCTCGCGCTCAAACGTATCAATATACTCACTATGCAACTCCTTGACGGCCGGGATGATCAAGCTCTCAATCTCGATTTCCGGTTCACCTTCGGGGAGAGACTTGGGGTCCAGCGGTTCGTCCTTGTCTGTTGTTGTTGTTGTTGCTGCTGCTGCTGCTGCTGCTGCTGCTGGGTTGCCGGAAGAAGTAGAAGAAGAGCCGACACGACGGTGCATGGGGACGCGGATCCACCTGTCTTTGCGGTTGGGTGCTACAAAGACTACTTCCCATTTGCGGGTGGAGCTGTTGTTTTCCGAGTTTGGTTAGTTAGTTGGTATGGGTAGGAGGGAGGAGGGAGGAGGGAGGAACGTGAAGGATGTGAGAAGGGGGTGAGGGGGGAAGAAGGGGATAGAAGAGAAGGGGAAAACATAAGGCAAAGGAATGAGAAGAGAATTAGAAAAACATACAGCAAATTTCCAATAACCAAATGATGCTGATACCTATTCAGCGAGTACTTGGCCTTCAGCGTCAAGATGCTCGGATCCGTCTCCAGCTTGAACGAGACGATCATGCCCTCAGGCGACCACCCTTCAACCAAGTTCTTGAGGAACTTGGGCACAGGGTCAAGATCGACCACCAACCGCTTACTCCTAGGCACGGTGGGGGAAGAATCAAAGTTGTCAAAGGTCTCTTCATCCACCACTCCCGTGCCTCCCGATCCATTCCTAGATGCAACAGAGCCAGAGGCAGGCGTAGCTCTGGCACTAGGGTTCGCACTGGGCGCAGCAGATGTGGCAGTAGAAGATGACAATTTCTTCTTTAAATCCGCCGCGTCCGTGCTCTGGATCTTGTGCTCCGACATGCGGTCCGGCGGCACGAAAAAGTCGCTGACGGCGGCCGCGAGATACAAGAGAGCGTTGGGGCCGAGCGGCTTCATCAGCTGGGCGATGGACCTCAGCTCGTGCAGATAGTCCGAGATGCTGAGGAAGGGGATGGCCAGCAGCATGTTGTTGTCGCGGGCGTCATGATACTTGCGAAGGACTTGGAGCATTTTGCTGGCGTCCTTGTCGCGGGCAACGACAGAGCCGTCGGGCCCTTCCCGAAGGAAATCGAGGAAGCAATCCTTTGCGTGCGAGTAGTGGCGCGAGAAGGGCAGGAGGGAGAATTGTCGGTGAAGAAAGAGGACGGCGTAGCCGGCTTCGAGGAAGTACTCGGCGGATGTCTTGGGGTTGATCGGTTAGACAGATCCTCTCTCTATGAAGGGGCACTTTGATGGTGATGCCCCTGACATATAAGCAAGCAAGGAAGTAAGGAGGGAAAACTTACAGCTCCGCGAGTGCCAGCCGAAAAGTTGTCAATGAACCGCACAGTCTGCTTTTCTGTGATACGTTAGCAACCTTACTCAGTCATCCATTTCCCCCTCGTCACTATTGAACCATGTCCTATATTCACTGCCTCACTCCTTTCCCATCCCAACTTTCACCCCTTTCTATCGTCCCCTTTTCCCCAGTTCCTCTTCACCATTTACGCCCCTGACAACCTCCAGAGAACAAAAGGAAAAAGGAAAAGAGAAAAACTCACCAAGCGGCACAGTAGTTCCACCACTGGTAATCAGCACCAACCTCCTTCCCTCCTTGGCATGGAAATCGATAAAGTCCTTGGCCTGCTTCACGTGCTTTTCAAGGTCCTTGGGCGGCGGGTTGGCAGAGAAGTAGTGGTCCTCGGCCAGAGTGGCCAGGTTGGGCGGTGGGGTCTCGCCGGGGATTTGGGACATCATTTTGTCGGTGTTTTCGTTTGAAGTTTCTGGTCGTGGTGATGGTGATGCGAAGATGATGTCCTGGTTTTAGTTTTGACGCTCTTCTGGTTGGTTTGCGTGGTTGTGACGATGGTGGTTGTGCAGTTTGAGCGTGATGATTAAGATGAAGTCTAGTTCTCGAGAAGAACGGTGAGAGACCGTCTGCTTGCTGTGGTATGTTAGCTAGCTGACTTCAATATCTTCAAAGGAAGGTGGAAGTGAAGTGAATTGAAGCCCAAGAGACTGATGATGCTCAGAGAAGAACTGATTCAGTCCGTAGTTTCCATCGCCATTTATGCCAAGACCCTTGAGTGGAAATGTAAAAACGCAACCTCGACATGGTCCCCTATTCCTTCCTTTTCCATGACTCCATTGCGATACGTTCGTGAATACTTCACGCTATAAAACCCATGACCGTACATGCACCCGTATCCGGCTTGAACCGGATCGGGAGCGCCCGAGAGCATCAGTGATGATCAATGAGGACCCCGATAGAGCCATTATGTTTAGTGTTGGGTTTGGGCGGAGGAAGGATAGGTAAAGCCACTTGACTCGACCCAGTTGCAGCTTATAATGGCTTTGAATTCTTGCATAGGGGTTTGTAGAGGGTCTGTATATGAGACTCCATTGATGTAGAAACTGGAAGTCTGATGTTGATGGACTGACTGACCTGGGTGATTGATGATAAAGATGAGAAGTACTAGACTCAATCCTCTTGGTATTCCGTTGCGAAGCCCGGTTTATATACCTTTCCCCTGAATTGACTCTGTAGACCCCAGTTATTCGTGATTATTGATCGTCTTGCTGAGCCTCTGCAGTGATGACCTGGAAGGAATCGGCAAGGGTATACAAAGTTTTATCGAGAACGGCGAGGCAGAGGCGCGGCGAATTGGTTATGTTCGCTCTTCAGCTTCGCTCCGTTCAGGTCGTTACAAGATTCAATTCGGCAATGTTGCGTCACCTCACGTTCTGGGGAGTTGCCGGTGGGCTTTATATGTAAAGCTGTGGAAGTAGAGTAGTGCCCTGTGATGTCGTGTGGGTGGTGTGAGGTACCGGACGGGAGTTCAATCGACGTCGTTGGGATCCCGGCGTGGCGGGGCACTTTCTATGGGTTTGGTGGGATATTGCGGGGAAGCTCCCCCCAATTGTCGGCGCCCCCCTTGGAGCATTCTAGCGGATTTACGGAGCATCTCAGGCTCAACCATCTGGCACCGGCGACCGGGCCACTACGGATGAACGGGAGTGAATTCGACCATTCTAGCCATTCGCCTCTGGATCGACGTTGGGTTACACGGGGGTGACAACGAACGATGTTTTCCCAGTGTGTCTGATATTTGTCTATATGGAGATTCGCTATCATCACGTTCACGGACCTGAACTAGGGCAACGGATGACTTGAATAATTGATAACCTGCCTCGAGCCTGCTTATCCTAACAAAAAGCGTTCCTGGGTGTCTCCTCCAGGGCACCGATCTATAACGCTTCTCTAAACCTCTACCTAGTGCCAATGATGAGTTGAGATAAACTGTACTACTTAGTACATGAAGAGATCAAAAAGAAGACAGCGGGTCAACAACCCTACAACCATCTTACAATGGACAAGCACAACAAAACAAACAAGACAAAGGACCCCCTTTTTTTTATGTCTAAACGCCGTCCGTCTAAGATGCATTTTGCCGCCATCATTTCTCTTTCAAAACAACATGAAAAAGGGGGACTCCCTTCATTCTCCTGAAACGCCAAACGCTCTCTGTCCATCACGCAACCCGGTCTGTTCTTTTTCTTTTACCTCAAGGCATTAAAACCACTTCTTGCTGGTGGATCTCTTTTGCTGCGCACTCTTCATCGAGTTGATCCTCCTCAACCTCTCACGGTTGCTGGGATCAAGTAGGACGTCGGTGCTCTCGTCGCGGAACCAGTGGTTGGGGGCGTTGCGGTTGTGCAAGTCGCCCATCTTGACACGCTGCACCTTGCGGAGCTTGACAAGGCCGTACCAGCAGACAATCAGCGAGGCGACCGTCGAGACCGAGGTGACCATGGCAAATCCCCAGTTGGTTTCCTCTATGAAATTCTCCAGGTTCATGCCGTACCAAGACGCCAAGAAGGTGCCCATTGCGAGGCCGAGAGTGCCCACGCTGAACTTGAGATCGAGCAACATGAGCGAGTTACGGTTGGCGTCAAGAATGGCGCGGATACTGTGATAAGTGGTTAGCTGTGTGTTTCCCTTTTCGCACGTTCAAAAAGTGGTGTAAAACTCACATTTCCTCCGTGTTCCTGATGCTCGAGACAAGGTTACTCGCTTCCTCCACAACTTCGTCGCAAATCTTGTTGTAAGACTCCAACAAGAGCTCGATTTCAGTGTGGTCATCCTCGCCTCTGTAGAGATCATGCGTCTTCTCAGTCAAGTACATGGACGCAAGATCATCGTCGGCCTCAAGCAGCTCCTCGATGGCATCACGCACGAGCTTGGCCTTTTGCTCGAAAGTGCTAACCCTCTTGGACAAGACAAGCAAAACCCTCAGCTTCTCGCGGTCGATGTCATCTTCGAGCTCGCTGAGAATGCGAATCACAGGGTCGCGGACGGCTTCGAAGTCAGCCTCCAGCTCAGAAGTGACCGACATTAGCACGGCTTCGAGAGCGCGGAATTCGTAGGGCAGACTGTTGGCTCCGGACGACTGCTTCTGCTGTAGTTTGCCTTGTAGATCGTACATGAAGGCTGACTGGGGGTATGAACTCTTGGAACCGTAGACGTCGAACAGAAGTACGCAATCATGTTTGATCAGGACCTTCAAGTGTAGCAGGTTGAGCAGAATCGCCGAGGGACGGATGAGGATATGGGGAAGGTTGGACGAATCGATCTTGCGAAGATCGCGAGGCAAAAGACCGTACTGTTGTATTTCAACTGGTCAGCAATGTGATCTCTTCATTTGTCTCAGATCACGTACCTTTGCAATAAGCTCACTCTTTTTGAGCTCACCGTCCACCATAACAACCTTGCCGTTCTCGTCCACTTCGGTACACCTCAGCCTGGGATCCATTGCAGCCTTTGCGGTCAGAGCCCTGCGCTGGAAGATAGAACCAGACTCTTCCTCGAGTGCTACTCTTATGTCGTCATCGTTCAGCCGCGTGTCTGGTGGTCCCTTCTTTTCGCCATTGCCGAACAGCCACTCTCTGAGTTTGGGCGTCTTGGAGTCACAGTCAGAGGACTGGTTTGACGAGAACCGCAACGAGCCAGCCGGCGGTGGGAGTGCGAGGAGGGACTTTGTGGTGCGCTGTTTTCGAAGCGACTTGGGGAGGATGGCCTCGAGGTCGACAAGACCGGCGCGCAACTGGGTGCGCTTGGGCGGGGTTGCTGTACTCAGCGATCTCGTTGTCGTCGAGGAAGAAGGCTGTCTTGGTGGTCTGGTTGAACCGCCTGCGGTACAGACATGGCGACACTGGAGAGCTGGATGGCGCTCAGCAGCAGCGCGACATGTTGGCGCAAACGAGAGCCCTTCGGACTGGGCGCGAAGATACCGAAGGAGACTCCGTGATGGCGCTGCTGGTCTCAATGCCGGCGGCATTGCAGCAAAAAACGTCGTCGTGGACTGACTGACTGACGATACTTGCTCTCAGTCTTCTCCTCTCGGTCGCAAAAAGTTGGAGGAAGAAGAAGAAGAAAGGCGCGCAAATCAAGCAGAGAGAGTGATTCGCGGTGTTTGTAAGGCCTTCCTGCCTTTCCAAAAAGATGGCCGCAACGCACCTCGCCAAATCCCAGTTCGATATTGTGCCTGCAGAAAAGTTAAAGCTTTCGACGGATGGAACCACGCCGCGTTGTGCTGCTAATAAACAGCATTGGCGCGAAAAGCTCGCTGTAGGAGGGGTGCTCCAAGTGCTGGTAGGAGTGAATGTATCAAAAGTGGAATTCGCCCATGCATGCGGGCAACTCCATTCGACATGGAAGTCGCTGCGTTTCCCCATTCATCGTGTTCCAGTTGATAAGAAAATTGTTAGTGCATCCAACGCCTGGACAACTTCATCGGAATGACATCTTTCTTTGGTGTTGACCGCTTTTGACATTTCCAAGTGACCTCAGAAGAGTGCGAGATATGCATCCTTCTCCAAATACGTCTTAGTTGGCTGGGTGATAGATGTTGCCAAACAAATCTCTTCTTTGAACAGCATTCACTGTTGACCGTTACCAAGATTACCATAACTGTTCAACCTTGCACTCTTGAGTTCTTTCTCCATAAATCCAATTCAGGCCCTCATCCTCTCTTCAGAACCCACTTGCTCAATGTGGATTTCACGACTTACACGACGCTTCAAACTTGACCACTTCAGCCGCTCCAGTCTCCTGCACTTCTGCGGAATGGTAAACAATGAAGCTGACGCCCATCAAAATTAGAGGCCGCCGCGGCCGCAAACAACCTTGGCAACCTCCAAATCCGGAGCGTTTCAGGCGCAAGTACCTGGATGGTGACGAGGACGAGTTCGACGAGGAAACTGGAGTCATTCCGAGTCAAGTCGACAAAAATGGTGTTAGACGACGACGTCGCGTCAAGACGAGAAAGCCGGCCGCTCTTATCGAGCAGCTGCCGCCTGAAATCCTTGAGCGCATCTTCTCCATGTCCGAGAACCTCAACTTTCCCAGGAGTAGTCTTCGCATTGGCTACATGCTCTCGGCCAGGACCTTCCTTATGCAGCTGATTGTCGATGCCTTCTCTCCGACGTGGGACATGTGGTTTGGCTGTCCCAGGAAGGATATCCAGTCATATAGGGGTTATGAGAAGGATGGTGAGAGAATGCCTGGCAGTCCAGATTTCCAGGTCAGTTTGCCTCGTCGAAATGCCGAAATGGGTTCATGAAAAGAGTGCTATTTGAACCCTTTTCACACAACACCAGTTACTCACTTCATATTATCGACTTCCCTCTCATAATATTCTCCTGCCACAAGGATCATCAACTGACAGCTTCACAGACCGCCATCCTCTCCTCCAAATGGTTCTCCCTCTCTCTCATCCTCCACGCCCAACAAGTCTGGATCCGGCGTCACGGCTCTGCCTCCCGCCCCTTCATTCACACCGAGAACTGGCTCATGCTCGGCCCCACGCGCATGGAACTTGATCGTGACCTGATATCAGGTCCCCGCCCTGGTGAAATCCAAGATTACGACATGGATGATGTCCGCGATGTTTATCCTCACCACCCTCACCACCGCCTGCACTTCGACGGTGACGTCTTCGACGACTCCGGTGCCCCTTCCTCGTCCCAGTCTAATACCAAACTGGACGTGGAAATCTGCTTCGAAGCCGATTGGTCCTGGTTCACCACTATTCTTCCCAAATTCGACCCCCAAGGAGTTATCTATAGCATGGAAAATCATGCCTTGCGCACGGGGTATTGGGATATTCACCCGGCGACCAAAATCCCTAATCATCTGCTGGCGAACCCGGTGGCCAGTTGGGATTCCGTCAAGTTGTTGTATTGGTTGGTCAGAGGTGGTGCGACGTTATCGAGCGAGCAAACCTGGGAAGTGAGTAGCCCCTAAACCTCTTCCCTTAACCCTTCTCATGAACCTTCACCTCCACAAACCTTCTCTCTCCCAATCTTGATCCCCTTAACTTTCTCCTCTTCAACCTCCTCCACCTCCACATTATCCCTCAACTTTTTCCCTTGATCCTTCGCTTAACTTTTTTGTCCCTTAAACTTTCCTCCCCTAAACCTCCCTGACTCCTCTCCACGCCCATCTCACCCAAACCTATTTACAAAACCAACTAACATACCAACCAGCTCACCAAACTCGGCTACGAACGCCTAATGTCCCACCCCGACCATCCTTCTACTACCATCACATCCTCTTACACCCCTCATCATTCCACCCTCCCCACCTCCCGCCCTTACATCCCCCACGCCAACCTCCCTCCCGACGCCCGCCGCGATGATCTAGATGAGGACCAAGAACGGGAACAAATGTCCCTCATCGCTCTTCGGCTCTTCTCCATCCTGCGCGTCTTTGGCCCCAACCACTGGCCCCATTTCCTCATGATCGAGAAGCTGGAGGAGATCAGTGTGGAGCGGCAGAAGCGGACTGCCTATTCGGACTCGCAGAAACCGGCCTGGAAGCTGTGGCTGCGCGCCCAGTCTGTTTTGCGGCATTGGATGCAGCAGAGGGGAGAGGAGCATGAGGACTGAGATGAGGAGTGAGAGAGTGTCGGAGAGATTGGGAAGAAATGTTGTGGCTATGATTTGGCTCGTTGACTGGAGTGACGAGCTTGCTCAAGTAAGGAGAATGCGGTGGCGATGACGTTAGATATTTGGCAAAGGAGATAAACTGGAGGTGGGTAGGCATCCAGATCCACTAACCCTCATGACATTGTTCATGAATAAAACACTGCTTCTTTAGCAGGCGGCCTGACAAAAGAATCCACTGCATCTTGGCCGTCAGTGAATCCGCCAGCTCAGGTCTCACCGTATGGCACTTGATACTTCTGCAATCAACCCATCAAGGCAGCACGAATCATGCCCACACACTCCTAGAGGTCACATTTATCACGATTAACTTCAGGGACAAAGGATAGATCGTCAAGGTCTTAACTATCACCCATTATGGACCAGCCCTCAGGACTCCAAGCATCCATGATACCAATGGAGATCCAATACCTCGCCCCTAAATCCGATAACCTTGCACGATATCGCCATGGTCCAAAGGGTATCCTTCCAATATAGCCTCCCTTCAACACCTAGACGCCGTTGCAAAAGACCCATCAACCTGCTGCTAGTCGGAGAAATACCTGACGAACCACAAGAATCACCACGAACTTGTGGGAGCCCAACCCGGAAACAAACCTTAAACGCCTCCGTCAGATTGTGCTCTGTCCTGTGCTGCCATCACCAGTCATTGGCAACAGGCACAGAGGTATTGCCGGCATTAGTTACCAGCACCCCAACCATCGCCGCCGGCATTGTCGCCCGCATCATCGGCGTCACCACCACCACCCCAGCCGTCACCAGCATCGTCACCATTAGCATCATCGCCGCCGCCAACCTCCTCCTCAAAGTCGGAATCGGCCTCGAAGTGAAGATTCTCTGTGTCCTCGGGAATGTACTGCTGGAGGAAGTCCGGAATTTCCTGGCCGGTCTCGAGGAGGGTGCGAGTGAGAACAGAAGCGATATCCTCGTCACGCTCAGTGTAAAAGGAAGTGGCAAGACCTCTATGGCCGATACGACCGGTACGACCAATGCGGTGAACATACTCCTCAATACCACCATACATGGTGGAGGGGAGGTCGAAGTTAATGACATGCAGAACGTTGCGCACATCGATACCGCGAGCAGTGACGGCGGTAGTGATCAGCACAGGCGATCTTCCGGCACGGAAGGCGCGCATGGCAGCCTCGCGCTCCCTCTGAGTTCTGTCGCTGTGCATACTGACACAGGGGACTCCCTTGTTGAACAGAAAGTCATCGAGTTCGTCAGCAGCGCGCTTGTTATTGACAAAGATAATGGTGCGACCGGGAGGCACCGTGTTGAGCAGATCAAGACAGGCCTGCTTCTTCAAATAGGGTTCGACCCAAATGACATCCTGCTTGATGTTGGAGTGGGTGCTTCCAGCGCGTCCAACGCGAAGGCGCACATGATTGTCGGCCAAGTGGGTCGTGGCAAGGTCACGAGCAGCCTTAGGGAAAGTGGCCGAGAAGAGCATATACTTGATATTACCCTCTTCCTGGTCTGTGGGGGGAAAAAGTATTAGCCTGAGCTCACCAAACAGTTTGGGGAAGCAGGAAGATGCTGTGCAGAGTTAACTTACCACCACCAGAGAGAATCTGGTCGAGCTCGTCCTTCCAGTCGTCATGAAGCATCTCATCTGCCTCGTCAATCACCATGTAGCGGACACGGCGCAACGACAGGATGTCCGGGCGATCCATAAAGTCGATAAGACGACCAGGAGATGCGACGAGAATGTCGCAGCCTTTCGCAATCTGCTCCATCTGCTCCCTCATCGGACCGCCGCCGTAGATGACGCAAGGGCGCAGCATGGAGCGATAGCAGAACTTTCTGGCCTCGTTGAAGATCTGAACCGCCAGCTCACGGCTGGGGCAGACGACGACAACCAAAGGCTCAGCTCTGCAGGGCTGGTCGATTCCGGGCTGATAGGTGACAGGGTTGGGACGAGGGGCCGCCAACTTCTTTGCCTTGCCCATCAGCTTGTTGATGATGGGGATCATATAAGCCGCTGTCTTGCCAGAACCTAGAGATTTGTCAGTGTCAAGGATGCTCATCACAGGGGCATCTGAAGATGAACTCACCAGTCTGCGCAATGGCAATGACATCATGGCCCTGGCTAATCGCGGGGACACAGTAACGTTGGATAGGGGTCGGCAAATCATAGCCCGCAAGCTCGACGTTGCGGAGCATGGCCGGGTGCAGGCCAGCAGCTCTGAAAGAGTCGATAGGCTCGACTCGAGTAGGTCCCTCTTGGACCAGCTGGAGCTCAGCGATGGCGGAGAAGTCGATTCCCCTGCGGCCGCGCTCCTCGACGGGGCCAAAGAGTTGGACCTCCAACTCCGGGAGCTCAGGGCCAATGTCACCCTCTTCGCCATCCCACTCATAAATGCGGGCCTGGCCATCCCACTCGGTCTCCCGATTGGCAAACTCGTCGTAGTGGTAGGGCGTCGCCTCAACCCAACCCTCGAGCTTGGGAGGGACGGCCTGCTCGACGGGAGCAGGGCCGCTGTGGCCGTTGGTATCGGAGAGAGCCGACTTCAGATCCGCAGTGCCCCAAGGACCGGCCTCAGCCTCGGTGACAGCGGGGGCAGCACCCCAGCCGTGGTCAGCCATGACGCGAGAGTGGCTGTAAGCGATGGATGAGTTAGAGAGGCGACCAGCTAGATGTTAAGCGATAGTGAAATGAAGTCTTGAAAGGAATCAAGTACTTCCGTGGGCTCAGGTGGAACTGAGAGACGGCGAGGTGACGCGACCCATGGAGGTACGGCGCGTTCAAAGTGAAGATGATGTCGCCGAAGAGGAGAGATGACGAGATAGAGACAAAGAAAGAGGAGAGACTTACTTGTTACGAGACGACGGAAGCTATTCGCGGCGAGAGCAAGATACGGCGCGCAGCACGTCGACGTGTTGACGAGTCCTGCGGGTGGGTGTGGTGGGTGAGAGGGAGAGGAAGAAGTGGTAGAGGAGAAGGGTTGAAATGTTCTGACTTAAATATCAGAGAACGCACAAGCCACCCAAGCTTTGTGTGCGAGAGAGAGAGGTACTTGTTACGTCAACAAGGCAACTTCAAGTTTCAAACAAACGGAGGAAGGAGCAGCTGCGGAGAGGGTAGCGGGGCAGAGGCAACTCCAGTCCTGTGAAGGGGATGTATGAAGAGGGAAGGTATGGCCGGGAGGACTTCCTGCCTCGCAGGCGGTGTACGAGCTGTTGGGGATGGAACAAAGTGGAAGCGTGACGGCAGATTGAAAGTTGAGTCAACGGGTAGCAGCTGCCTGCCACCGGCATGACGAGTTTAGGCGGTGGTCTTTCAGTCACGAAAAGGGTTCTGATGATGGGGCTATGTGTGGCGCGGTCAAAGGGAAGTGACAAGACGGAGCTAGTACTGGGTACCTCTACGCTCCCGGGCTGGTATCAAACGATGAACGTACCGGAGGCCCTTTGGGTCAGCGACGACAATGGAGACTGCAGTGTTTGCGGAGTTGGCGTCCTATTCTTCACAAGTATTCGGTCTTGCAATATGGATTGTCCCCTTGAATAATCCAAAGATCAACTGGAGGACTTCTTGATCTGTACTTACTCCTGCATACACTCGCCTTTCTTTCGTCTTCTGGCTGTCGGGACTCCAAAGCATCTGCCACCAGCTACAGTAATACTCAGAGGTATTGAACCGCCTCCTCCATGTACCTAGTATTGTCAGCCACACCACCACTTGATCTGATTACGAGCTTGACGAGGCGGACAGTCTCGCGCGCGTTGCCACTCGATCTTCCAACAACTGCCCAGTGGGCCCATCTGCCAAAGGCCCGGGGCCGACACAAAGGCGGCATCCAGCTGGAATGGACGACCGTGCTGCCATCCGCAGGATAACCACTCAATAAAGTCTGCCTTGATTGCGGTTGAGAGATACGGACCAAAGCGCCGATTTAGGAGCACGAGGCAGTCAAACACACCTTGATAATGTACCAAGGAAGGTAGGGAACCCTTTAACTAGTCATGCATCTTGTAACAAAGGACTACCTATTCAGAGTGTAGAGGCTGTTTTGGAATTCTAGATGTACGCTTTTTCGTAGCATCGGAGTGTCCCATCTGTCCCTTTCTCTCCGTCATGATTCGATGCCTCTGCCGCTTTAGCTACGATAACGCGACCTGGTTCCCAGTACTATATTGACAGCGATCAACAACCATAAGACTCTTCCACGGACGGTCATACAAAAAGGGACCAATACTTCGTAACAGATAAAGACGGCGCAGCAAACGAAGCCTCGGAATACTACGCGGGAAGGGTGTCAGCCAGCGAGATTGAAACGAATGAATATCAGAGAGTAAGCAAAGAAACAACACAAACGCCGTCGAAACCTGTGACGCCAGTTAATTACATGCCCCACAGGTAGCGCATCGAAGAAAACCAATCTCAGCATAACTTGTTGGTGGTCCGAAAAGTGGTCGCGATGAACGAACAACCCAGAGAACGAAAAGAACAAAACTGGACGACACGAACGGGCGAGCAGGCGAACAGACGAGCGCACCGGACAGGACGAATACTTTTCGTCTACATTTCAAAGTCGAACCAGATACCCCTTCTGTCTTACTCCCGAGTGACCAGGGAGCCAAAAAGACATCCGTTGGCACAGGAACAGGCACTGAAGGACGCTAGATCACACCTTTGCTATAGCAAGCTATTGTAGTAGAAGAAGAGGCAAGCATACAAAAGACTAGGTCACTTGCACAAGTATGGAAGTTCAAGTTGACGTTTTCATATGGCGGTAATATGGACATAAATCGTACTACAAAAAGAACCGCAGTAGAGGAATGCAGAGCCACTCCAAAATATCTACAAGATCACAGACACAAGGAAACGAACGCAAGAAATGACGGAATGGCTACGCCAACAAAGAACAAGAGGGAATCATAAACCTATAAACCGAGAGAACCTATAATGAAGCAACAATGGACCCTATCCTTTCCCAGATCATTAGCTGAAGAAGACCGTCGTGAACCACACCCATACAAGCCATGCCCCTACCATCACTTAGGCCTCTACCTCCTCCACCTCCTCGATTTTTGGCTCCTCCACCACCTTCTTTCCCCCTTCCTCCGCCGTCCTCAATACCTTGTCCAACACCGACGCGGCCCTACCAATCACACCGCCTTCCTGCTTCGCGCCCATCACGCCCGTCTTGATCGCCGCCCTCCACTTACGCTCAAACACCTGCTGCCTCGAGATCCGATCCGGATACATTTCTCCATCCTCATCCCTCTGCGCGCCCCACAGATTCATATAAGCAAACGGATTCGGCGTCGTCGGCATCCTGTAGATACTATCCCAATACCGCTGCTCATCATACGGCAGCGGCGTCTCCGGTCTGAACCCAGCTTCCAAGAACTTGGCAAAGATGGTGATCTGCTTCGCTTGGGCTTCGCCGTTCTTCTTGGAGACCTTGTTCAAACTGGTTTTGGTGGCTGACGTCCAGCCCTTGACCGACAAGGTGGATGCTACAGATGGGTTCCAACCCAACATGGACGAGAACGAATTCATTGTCTTGAGCCAGCCGCCCGGGCAGGAGACGGTTTCATCGGGACAGACTTCGATGAGCCAGTCGAGTACAGAAAGCGTGTCGGAACGGATTTCGGTCGACAGGTGGGTCATGCCGCCCCGGATGTACATGAGGATCTTCTCGACATGGGGCGCGACGTCGGAGGGCGGGAGGGCGCGCAGGAGCTTGAGGAAGTTGGTGCGCACGTTGGCGACAGAATCGGTGATTAAGGGCAATAACTTGGTGAGCAGGTTGGGCACGCCGACCGGGTTGAAGATGGGCTTGGAAGAGAGGTCCTTGGTTAGTTGGACCAGGGCTTCTTGGCGAAGCTTGTCGGATTTGGAGTTGATGGCTTGGTTGAGGTGCTGCTTGAAGAGGCCGACGAGGTCGACGCCATCGAGGGCGGCGAGGGTGTGTTGGTTCACGACGATGGCTGGGAGGGGAGGTGTTAGTGAGTGAGTTTGGCTTTCAAAAGGGATGAATATGAGTGAGTGAGAGACAAACATTTGGACTTGAAGCTCGTATCGGTAAAGTTGGCTGCTTTGGCTTTGGCCTTGCCGACCTTCAACTTGGCTTTCTGTCGTGGTCCATATGTGTTAATGAAAGTAGCCGATAAGGGGGCATCACATCTGATAAAGCCAGGGGCCGCAACAACAGCAGCAGTTTTCCCCCCCGAACAAAGCTTATGGGTGAATGAATGAAAAATGACATACGTTAAAGTCCTTCTTCTTCTCCTTCTTTTTCTTGTTACTGGAACCCATCTTGGCGGTGTTTGATAGATAGTCGGTCTAAGCAGTAGTTAGACGTCCAGTCTCTTCTTATCAATGATTGATATGGCAGTACTCACCTTGGCCCTTTGTAAGTGTATCTTTGGTGAAGCGCGGAGTGAAGGAACGAGGTGAGTTTGGAAATTTTAGCGGTGTAACGCGGCAAAACCCCCGGACTGCCAAGACTTTTGACAGCTGTCGGCCAGGGGTAACACCATGGGTACCTTGCTGGACAGCAAGTGGCCGCTCGCTGTTGCTGTTCGTTCGTTCGTCGCTTCTGGAGCTCACCGAACGAGCAAGGGAGCTCTCTCACGGCTCATCGATTCCTAGCTCATTGTCCTACAAAGATATCAGCCATTTGAATTGGCGCGAGCCAAATACATCAATTAAACTCCTAATTCTCCAATTCACAGATCTAATCCCCAATGTCAGACCCAACAGTCAGTTTCCCCCACCCCCCCTCAACCTTTTCAAGCACGCTCACTAACATTTCCCCAGTCACCCTCCGCCTCCGCCCACCTCGAAGAGACCCTAGGCCGTCTCTCCAAAAAGCCCGGCGTAAAGGGCGCCATCGTTCTTGACCGCGCTTCCGGCGCCATTCTCAAAATCAGCGGTCAAATCTCTTCAATCCGAAAAGCCAAGCCCCAACCACAGCAACCAGAACAGTCCGAGCAGCAATTGATCACGGACCAGCAAGGCCCACTGTCACCTTCATTTCCTCCTGGCACCGCTACTGATACGACTACTGCCGATCCGGCTCCGGCTCCCGGTACGGCGGTGACTACGACAGGGGAGGAGGCAGTTGCTGCACCGGCAACAGTATCTACGGGGACGGGCACGGATGGGGAGGTAGTGGGGGCTGGGGCAGGTGCGGCGGGCACGGGCGCGGGGAACGCAAGCAGCGGCGGCAGCGGCAGTGCAGTGAGTGCCTATGATCAGAACGTGGTAGAGCTCGCGGCGATGGTGTGGAGTTTTGTGTCGAATGCGGGCGAGTTTGTGCAAGAATTGGATGAGGAGGTGAGTTTTCGCAGGTTTTCTTCTTTCCCCCCTTTCTTTGCCGCCTTCTTTCCCTTCCCTTACCCACAGCCCCCTACTCAGAGCTCAATAAGAAAAAGATTTTCGAGACTGGTTATGCAACCTCAGGTTTACGAAAACAAAAGGCTTAAACTAACGACAACGCATTGCGCTGCGCTGCACTGCAACAGGATGAGCTCAAACTTCTAAGACTACGGACGAAAAAGCAGGAATTGGTAATCGTGCCCGATGCGAAATACCTGCTAGTCGTTTTTCACGATACCCCTCCAGCATGAGTCACAAAACATATCGAGTGCTATTCAAAAAGGGACGGCGCAACGCTGCAAGAGCTGAAGCTTGACGTTGTCCTTGAGCTCAGTCTGGTGATGATGAAGTCGGTGGTGGTGGTGGTGGTGATGGTAGCGGTGATGAGCCACGCCAAGGATAGGATTGGGATGGTAGGATGGATCAGTTCGATTTCATTAATCTGATACTTCGAACCTTGATGCGTTCCATCGAAAGGAAGGATACGTCGCTCCTCTTATGAAGCACGGCACGGCACGACCGGGCGACAGTTTCCTGATCGAGACGACATAAGGCAAATGTTACAGTTCCCATCCGTCCCTTTTTGACGGGAACGCGTGCGCGGATTGTTTCGACATGGGTAGTCGCATGAATGGCATGGGGCACATAAGGCTCTGGTAGATCTGTTCCCTATAGCAGAGAGGACTGTAACCATTGGGTGCTCGTCAAGGTTGAAAAGAGAGAGAAGGGGGGGGGAGGGCTGGATGATGATGATTGACGATTGGGCAGATGGATGGCGCGAATCCTGAACAAACGGACTGGTTTTGACATGATTTGATACCCTCCGCCTTTCCCCCTTTTTCCGCCGATGAGATTACATTGTTCTTCAAAGGCGGCTGATAAAGTTAGTTGAGTTGCACAACAACGACGAGCGGCGGCAAGTAGCAGTTTGATCATTTTCTGCGCAATAACTCACACGCAGAAACCGCTTACTAATAACCATCCGTTGGCCGTAATCATGAAATGTCCATTCCATTCACCCCTTGGGTAGTGTTTTCAAATCGAGTCGCGCGCAGCACACATAAGATTGTCGAAGTCATTGTCCATGGCAAGCGCGGCAAAACGCCGTGATATATTGGCACAAAAAGGGCCTCCACTGTACTCAGCTGCACCACTGTGGTATTGGGCGATTGGTCCGGTGGGCATCTGTGTGTAGTGGGCACCTGTGTTTCAGAATGATCCTGGTAAGCTTTTCGACGATGGAGGGTTTATTTCTCAACAAATTCGCCGTATTCGGCATATGTAACCAAGCTCAAGCAAAGACTACATATCGTGAATACATACCTAGAGTATGTAGTAGTGTACATACCTACCGTTCAGCTGAAGGTATGGCAAGAAAAGGAGGTCCTTGTCAGCCCGGGAGACTGCGGCGCCGATGTTTTATTGCTATGACTGCATTTGCGGAACAACCGTTAGAGATGAGGTGCGCTGGAGACACACGTGTAGTCCGGGTTGTAGGCAAGTCCCCTGCTGCGAGCATGTTATTGCTGGACAAAAGCCCCTGGATCTCGCTTGGGATCGCCGACGACGACGACATCCCTTGCACGTATGAATGGACGACCAAAGAACCTTCTCTTCCCCCCATCCCTCTCTGGGTTTCACTTGATCGATTCGGGCCTGACATTGAACGGCCCGTAGCCAAAACCGGTACATCTGAGTTTGGGGTGCAGGAGTTCGAGGGCGCTCCCGTCTCTGAAGCAACCCTTTTTAGTCGCTTGATGCGTGGATTTGTTCTACACCCCAAACAGCGTGGAGTACCCTAGAGGGAAAACTTCCCGTCGGTTCGCCCACTTGTTCTAGGGCCGTTCGGGTTTCCCCCCCATGCCCCATGCCCCATGCCTCCCCATTCCTGTCACTGCGCCTCTCCGAACGGGCAGATCGAAGCGGGCGTAATCCCAAGTTCCAAGTTCAACCATGGCCGAAATCAATGAAAGCAATTTCAGACGAATAGAGGTTCACCTGTACCACGGTGATTTATTCCCAGGAGGCAAGATTACAGGCTACGAACTCCATGGATTCGAAACAAGCCAGCCGGGCACATCCGAATGGCTCTTGGCCTGTGACTGGCTGTGGAGGGCAGGTAATGGCTGGCGCAGCGTCTCCTTCCGGTCCAAGCACAGGTAGGTGACGGCAAAGTTGTGAGGCTCCCAGGGTGGTGGCAGACTGTGGTGGTTTCTTCATATAATGACCTGTCCCTGTCAATGTTTACAATGGAAATGGGGTCCCTATTATTTCTCGTATCATTGGCTTGGTTGAGGGCTGTCAGTCCGGATTCCGGTTCCCCATCCATCCCTCCACCCTCAGGATTACAAGAGCTCTAACAGGAACCGGGAAGGACTGATGACTGCCGCCAGCGATAATATAACGGACGTACCTTGGATATCCTGAGACAACCATGAAGTTTGTGCCCGAGCTTAGTCTGGGTGTCCTTCTCAGTGCTCCTGTCCAGTCCTCAATACATATTCCGTAGACCTAGTTCGTTAGACCAACTCGCTAGGACCAACGGATCATCGACGGCCTAGTCCATCTTTTTCCTTTTTTTCACATCTGATAGGTTTCTGTCGCAGACCATTTTTTCGATTTTTTTTTCTTTTGTTCCTGTGCTGTCTCTGCATGCCTTAACTGATCAGCGAAACCCACCAGGCATTCTAACGAATAGTGTTGAGGCCCCTCGAGTCTCTAACAGCCGACGTCAAGGTGTTGGCCCCGCCGCGGCACTTCACACAGCAAAAGCCGGACCCGGCAAGTTTATAGCCGTATCACACTCCTCGGTGGACACCACAACGAAACCCGTTAGTGTAGAATACACACGCAATTGCCGTGGACCTCATCAAGAGGTGGACGCGCTGCTCCCAGTTCGGCTCGCATTCTTCCTCGTTCAATGAGAGCGCTGCGGCCGCAGATCGAGGCGGCGCATATCATCCCGCGTACGCCGCTCCCGTGCCGAAAAGATGCCGTCTTTTTCGATATTGAGACGGACGCCCCGGAGGCGGAACACAGAATGCGCCAAGCCGGCAGACGCCACCGTTATCACCGTTACCGAAGGTGTCTTTGGGGGGACAGGGGATGCTGTGGTTGCAGCTGAAGGATTGGGATGGGGGGCAGGAAGGGGAGGGGGACATGGAGGCGGCGGGCGATCCGGGGGGCTTGGCCTGGGGTTGACATCCAACAACAGCGACAAAACAAACAACAACAACATCATCAACAACAACGCCAGCAACATCACCTTTAGCAGCAACGAGAGTTCGCAACGAAATTCGATTGACGGAAATGACAACAATGGACCAGGAAGTACCTCTATGCCGACGGGGACGAATGAGAAGAAGAAGAAGGAGAGACGCGGGTCGAGACGAGACATCTTTCTGCAGGACATCCGCAGTAGATTAACCGGGAAGCTGCCACCTTCCTCGTCCTCCAACAACAACAGCAACAACAACACGTCGTCTCCTTCCTCGGGCGCATCGACCCCTCACCAGGAAGCAATTACTAGTCCCAAACTTCCACTTCCGCGGGGAAGAGCTGCATCACAGCCTCCAATCCCGATCTCTCAAAGGCGGCGGGAGTATATGAGCGGCCGGGAAGGAGCAGCAGCAGACCAGAGAGGGGAACCGAGAGGGGAAAGACACGGCATGGGAACCATTCGAGAAGCTGTAAGTAGAACCACCACTGCAACAACTTCCCCTCAATATTCTATACATTACATACCTAGGTACCTACCCACTACCTACTGCCTACTCCTCATCCCCCCTTCCATTTCCACAATCATTCAGTCAAGTGCGGATTCTCATTCACACGTCTTTTTCTCTTTCAGTTGTGGTGCATCCAAGTAGGTGATTTTCATCCTGATTCCCTCATGATTTCGACTTCCTACTACCCTCTGTCGTCCAATCAATGGGTCAGCTTGTCGACCACCAATCCTCCGCTATTAGTGATGCAGTCTGTCCACGAGGCAATGCAAAGGAAGTAAAAGTGCATCTTGAAGAAGTTTGCATTTTCACCTGAAGCTTCAGACCCTCCCTTCGCATGAAGACTGGGCGCACTAAGTACACCCCAAGAAGCACAAGAGCGAGGTCTCACGGGAAATTGGTAGCGGTACTTAGTAGGTACACAGACCGTTCGGTTCAGTTGCGTTCCTTGAGCTCTGTTCCCTTGTTGGTGAAGACGGGCAAGTGTCGTCATCTCCCCTTCCCCTCCCCGGGTTTCCCCATCATTCTCCAAAAAAAGAAGCCCATTTACAGCGAAGCCGCCCGGGCACCTCAACTCTCTCCAAGAGCAGGAACCTACCCAAGTGTAGTCCCCTCAATCCCCGTCGTCTGGGGAACAGCGGGCGCTATTTGAGTGGTCCGCGGCGGGTCGGCCGAGACTGCTCGCGTGATCCTCTGTAACGCGGATCCCTCTGCACCACTCTCATTGTGGCACTATGCATCTGCGTTTACAGGGGGCCAATCGTACGACGAGAACACCACTCAACTTACACGATGAGAGGGGGGGATCTTGCTCTGTCAATCTCTCGTTTCATGCCCAACCTCCTCTCACAGACAACAAACCAATTCTGTTCTGCTGCTGTCTTTCCTTGCTTCATGTTAAAGATATTGTGATATACTGAGCTACACCTACTACCATCCTATGCAACTGAAGAAACAACGCCAGACTGACCACTCTTGTTCTATCAACTTAGACTCCTCCTCCACCAACCCTCCGATCTCCACCAACACTACTTCGATCACCGCCATCTTCAACAGTTCGAATACCAGCCCCAGAGATCTCTACGCCAAGGTCACCAGTGGCGCAAACGCCATTATCACCACGCTCGCCCCTAGATGCTAACAAACCGCTCCCATCGCCGCCTCCACCTGGCAGTGAATGGAGGCTGGACCGTCCAACAAGACCGGTATTGAGACTTGCCCGCATCATGGCTACCCTGTCCGACTCCGACATAGAGAAGCTCTTCTCGGGAGCTCCTCAGTATTTTGACCGAGCCGAAGGCCACTATACTGGCGCTCCGCATCCGTCAGTCGCGTTCCCATGGGACGAGGAGCTCGGAATTCGGGACTTGACCGACCACACCCAGATCGAGGATCGCGCTTGGACCTGTGCCTCAGCATGGCCGCACATCACCCGTGATGTCCAGCCAGATAGGTCCACGGCGCAACGGGCCTCGGAGAAGAAACGTTGTGCGCATTTCTATCCCCGCTGTCGCGAGCGGCCCAGCATGCTGAGCATGGGCGGACTTGAAAAGGGGAGCATGGGTTTCCAAGCGGCTTTGGAACTCAATGTCGCCGATGCGCTGAAGGAGGATCAATGGGGCTTCGAGAGCCTCGCGTCCAGGCCTCATGCCATCGTTGAGGCACGGCAAAGAATGCTCACCTCCAGGGATCGCCTCCGCCATATGGACGAAACCTTGATTTTCGAACAGCTGATCAAGAACGGCAAGCGCTACAGTGAGCAGCACCCGCACCAGCTTCGGCTCTCGAGCGAACTATACAACGAGTTGTTCCTCCATATCCTTCACCCCCCAACCAAGGTGATCGACCATCGAGATCCCTACAGCCTTTCGGTGCAAATTGCTGCTTTGGTCAAGGTCCTCGCTGCTCCCAACGTTTGGATCGATTTCTCACTCGTTGAATGGAGGATTCGACTTGGACAGTTGCTCTGGGGCACCCCTGACGAAGACCAAGGCGATGACGGCGCATCAATCAAGACGGCTGATTCAGTGAGTGAAGTTACTGAGGAGAGATATTGGCTTCTCCTCCAAATCCTACTCGCTTGTGAGCTTCTCGTACGGCTCGACGCTATTACGGAGGGCGACGAACTTGGCATCGAGAGCATTAACCCTGCTGAGATCCACAAGTTCGAGAAAGACGCCAACACGACTGTCAAATGGTCGTTGCACCTGGCCCGAGCATGGTTGGAGAATATTGAAATAGTCAAGACAGACCCGCCTAGTCCAGAACAGGAAAAGCCAATAGGCTGGTTGGCAACTCTGACGAAGCGTATGTCTATTGCCCGCGATCATGGCATTCACCATCACAAAGACCATCATGGCCCCGTATATGCCATTAGAGGACGGCATGTCGAGCGCCAGGTCCATGGTCTGCGGCATTTTGCGACCATGTTGCGCTGGCCAGACATTGCCGTTTATGGTTCCAAGATTTCCGAGAACTGCCGGGCAGTCACTGAAGGAACTCAGCTCAACACCCCGCTTGCCAGCCCCTTGAGCAAAGCAGAGAGCCATTTGTCCTCCTACTTTACTTTTCCTGGACATGATTCGCACAGGCCAGCAGCCCCAAAGCGGGAACCTTCGAGGCGCAGGATGATCTCTGCTGCGTTGCACTCGGCAGGTTGGCTGTCAAAGAGCTATGTGTCTGGCCTGATGCTACCTGGTGATGGCATCTGTCACTTTTTGATGGCCACGCTGTTGGAAAACGATCCAGAAGCTATGGCAAGGCTTGGAACCATGGCTAACCTCTGCGGTGGTTTCGTGTATTCGGGCAAGAGTTTCTGGAGCACGTCTTGTATCGTCGGCCGTGTCCTTGCGGCCGGTAAGGGTTCTGCCGAGTGTATGGGTTGGGTCTCCAGCGATATCACTCCGCAGGGACTTGGAGATGGTTGGGTCAATGTTGAAGTTGAGGAACCTGCAGGTGAGTGATTACTTCTCGACCGTTTACTGGCCGAAAACTGACAGCCCTCGCAGAGGACGCTCTTGGGATCAATCAGAAGGCTCGCATTTGGGCAAAGATGGCAGTTGAGAAAGACTCGAACGTCTTGGGAGACGCGGACCCCTCGTCGGTTCTCCCAGCTGACTTTATCATCCCATTCGAAAACGTTTATCGGGACAAGACACCGCCCACCCTCCTGATCGAACTGGATGCTCTGAAACTATGGGCACCAGCTGATTCGGTCCAAACCACTCCAGCTGAAGACAACGCGGCTACCCCCTTTTCGGAGCTCAGTCGCCCGGCGCAGATTCGCACATACCCTGCTGAGATCTCTTTCACCGTGACGGACCTGGACACCTACAAGACCCACCAACATACCTATTCATTAGCAAAGGATGTCAACTTTGTGACTGCTCACCCATGTGCCCCTTCTTCCCATGTCAAGATTCTCAGGTCACCATCCAGCCCTACTATCCAGCAAGTGGACCTATCCGGGCGTGGCGCTGCTGGTAAGGCCGTAAGCGTCGTCGGTATGCTAAATCCTTTTCGTTCCAATTTCTTCGTCGTTACTAACACGTCTGCAGGCCACCCACTTCATAAATCTTACACATACACCGCTCTGCATCTATCAGAGTTAATGGCGAAGAAAGACTTCTCTCTCGAGGCGTTACTAGATGACTACTCGTCCGCTGCTCACCGACCTAGTCTCACGCCTCCTTCCGCCAAGAGCGCAGCCAAGTTCCTGGTGATTGACTGCATCACCGGCTTCCAGGCGTTGCCGCAAGAACACGAGATACCCTTATCGCCGGCTGTTAGCAGAAAGGGGAGCTATTCATTCCCCACGCCCAGAAGGAGCAGCACCAACAACAGTACTAATAATATCAATTATAATAATCACCCCTCCCCCGATTCTTCTCCCATCACCGCTCCGGAAGCCGAGTGTGCTAGTCCGACTACGCTCGACGGGGTCAAGGAAGGGGGAGGAGGAGGAGTAAATATGGAGAGTGCGTCGAAGAAGATGCATTCGGAGACACGGAGACGCCAATTTGGTTCGGATATGGAGATTCTCGTCAGAGCGTTTTGCGCGGAGAAGGGTTGGAATGCCCTGATTAGTCGAAGACGGAGGGGATGTTTGGCTTGTGCGATCCGTGAGGCGGGGGCATTGGGGTGGAAAGTTATCATTAGGGTTGACTAAGTTTTGGGTCATCCCCCAAATTATGAAAGAAAACAAGGAGATATACAACTGCTGTTCGGGACACAAGCGGATGTGGTCTAGAAAAGGGGTTGGGTACTACCCAGAGTACGTGTCTGACGGAGCAAGTAACTGCTGGAATTGTCCGGAGGCAAACACCACACTGAACGGAATATACTAAGGAAAGAAAACAAATAGTTCGCGCCCACAGCAGCAATAGGCTGTTTCTAGGGGCGTCTACTGTAAAATGAATGAAATATAGGCGACGATAGTCATAGCACACCTTGAAAGTATTAAAATATGTAAACATAGTAACCAAACTTGAAAACATTTTCACTCTCTTATGTTTCTCACTTCCTGCCAACAACCTTGAATCGTCGTCCACCACCAAAGCAGATTCCTCCCCCTCATCTCCTGCTTGTGTCGTGCACAACCGCACCTTCCATTATCCAGCCCGCCAAATTGCCCGCTCCCACGTCTTTCATCCGGTTTTAAGGTACCTACGCCTCCCTCCCCCCAGCATGTAGGGCACCACACATTGGACCTTATAGGCCCATGAAATGACCAGTTCTATCAACAAGAACAAACACAAAAAAAAAAAAAAAAAAAAGCCGTTATAGAGAAATGGTAACTCGTCAGACTTCTAACCTGAAGACTGCCAGTTCGAGTCTGGCTGGCGGCTATAACTCTTTTGCTCTTTTACTTTTTTGTCTGTATCATTTTGGGTTATCCTATTTCTCCTTATAGCCTTTTCTTTGCGATTAGCCTAATGGTATTTGGTGAACAATTGTCTGTTCGCTTGCCAACATGTGCGTGTGTGATTGGTACGCTTTCGGTCTCCTATCCGATGAGAATGGTTCACAAATGGATAGGATGTGTCCATGTGTCCATGTGTTGGATCGTCGACGAGAGTCCTTGTGTCAACACGGGCAGAAAATGAAAACCCGACATAAGAAAAACAATCATGGCATTGAAAACGTCAGGTGTTAGGAATAAAGTGAAAGTCATGCTTCATAGACGATGCTCAAAAATAATATAACAACACAAAGCTGTTCAGTAATTGTACAGTATCCAAACTTATGTATCCCGATTCTGGACATTTTATGTGCATCCTTCTGACTCTCCCCTATCCATATTCAAACTCTATACTCTAAGAAAAGAAAAAAAAAAGACTCGAATCTACAACTCCTTCTTCTCCTCCGCTACGTGACCTTCCTTCCTCACCCTCTCCGACCCCGGCGGCGTCTTAAGTGCATACATAACCAACAACGCTACCCACGACATGCCCAACGCGCCAATTCCATAGGCAACCTCCCTCCCGGCCCACCAATAAATACTCGTAAACAACACCGGTCCTAATCCCCTCCCCAGCTGTCCCCAGCTCCTCAACATGCCCAGCTTTCCACCGCGCTCGCCCTCATGCGACTCAAAGCTGCTGAGGGCATTCAGACCCGTGACCACCGTCGCCGAGGTGGTAGCGAGTAGGGCAGCTGCCCCGTAGAGGCCAAGGACGGACGTGATACGGCCCAGCATGATGAAAGCCAAGAGACAAGCGATGACGCCGATCCTCACAGACAGCAGAGGAGGCAGACGCCGCGTGACGCCGCCTTGGAGGAGGGAGGCGATGAGACCGACGAAACCGAGGAGACGACCGTTCTTGGCGGAATCGTAGGCAAAGAGGTCGTAGGTCATGAAGGGGAGGGAGAATTCCATGCCGGAGAAGAAGAGGAGGAAGGAGAAGTGGGTGAAGTTGAGGAGGAAGTGGGAGTTTGTGCGCTGGACTGCGGTAGGTTTGGTGGTTGGGGTGGTTGCTGGTTTCTTCTCTTCGGATTTGGTGCTGCTGACCTGAGTGCCGGTGGGTTCAGTCTTTTGAGTCAGCGCCGGCAATGTCTCGGGCAGACAGAAGTAGAGGTATAGCGTCTCGACAACGATCAGAGTCAGAGAGACGCCGGCGGCTGTCGCGAAGGGGTTGGCGGCCACGGTGCTGAAGGAGCTCAGCCAGGCGCCCAGCGCAGGGCCGAAAGTGAAGGCGATGGAGAAGCAGGCGCCAATGAGGGCCATGGTCGAGCCGCGCTTGGAAGGGTCCGAGATGTCGGTTGCGATGGCCGTGGCCAGCTGGACGTTGCCTTCGGAGAGACCGCCGACGATGCGCGAGGCGAGGAAGGTGCGGAAGTCGGTGGCCATGACCCAAAGGAGCACCGAAAGAATGTTGCCCGTCATGCTGAGGAGGAGGGCGGTGCGGCGGCCATAGCGATCGGAGAAGTGGCCGATTATGGGGGAGGCGATGGCTTGGAGGAGACTGGGAGAGCGTTATCGTTAGCGAGAAGCATGGATTGAGTTGGGGTATTTTGCTGGTGGTTACATACGAAAAGAGACTCCCCAAGGCACCTCCGAGCAGAACAATGTCATATCGCGAGTCAATTGGTCGCGCAAAGGAAGCCTTGTAAGCATTAAGGTAGCCCAAGACACTGGAGAGAAGGGTCTTGGATGGTGGGGCCGCAGGGTCGAGGGGAGCTTCGACGTTGCGGTAGAATTCGAGGAGTTTGGGGAATAATGGAAGGATAAAGGTAAATGATATCTGTTTGTTATCTAGTTAATCTTTTTGGTTCTTGAGCTTTCGCGGTGTTATAGATGGTCTCAAGCAGTACGTACCAAGTCAAGTAACAAAGAAATGAAGATGACTTTCAACACCCTCTTGCGGGTGGCAGGTTCGACAGGCGTCGTCATCCCTGCGCTGAAGCTTCCTTTCTTATTGCTGATTGTGAATCAGTGAGACCTCGAGTTTTTAGAATTGTTCAGATTTCGGGACCGGAGATTTGGAGGTTCAAAGTTGAGAAAGGCGGGAAATGGTAAAATCGGAGCTGGTGGAAGGTTGAAGCGACGTCACGCTGCTTGAAACGCCCAGAAGACTCCTGGGGATCCTGGGAAGTTGAAGGTCCACTACAGGTGCCGGGACTCCGTCTGGAAGGAGAGAGGACGAGGGTCTGTTTACGTTTCACAACTTGCGCACTGATTGTCATGTATCAAACACCTGGAAGAAAGAAGCTGTAGTGGACACGGAAGAAGAGAAGCAAGCTAGAGTATTTTGCACAGAATTGCAAAAACCACGAAATCGAAAGCCGTCCCAGACCAAACATTCGAGAGCTCAATCAAGTCGAATGACAAGTTCGTTCTGGAACATGGAGCTCCGAACATTTGATGGACCCCAATTGGGTACATATGTACCTTGATGCCGGGGGCAATGTGTATAAGTTGGAACACAGCTTCCGGCAGGCAGCGCATCCAATTGAAGACGATAAGATAAAGCCACAAATTAATGAGCTACAGCCACAATGTGGCACAAGCAGCATCAACAACAACATCGAGCGAGTCTTCCCCCGCAAACAAGCTGCATCTCATCAACTCACTGCAACTGTCTCGCCTGCAAAACATCCAAGTCTGAACCACCGTGACCGACCTGATTCAACCCAATAACCACCACATCTTCGCTGTCTTCTATTCCCTTCCCAAAACGGACTTGTGCTCAGCGCCCTGTTTCAACGTCGAACCACCGTGTATCCCACCCAAGATGGCCAAGACAGAATTGTGCCCCTACGCCATCTATATCTAACCCATATTGCTGCCCAAACCCATTTGTTGTCTCTTCTCCTCCCAAGGTCTTCCCTTCTTCTTCTTCCTCGCTGTCGTTTGGTCTTGGTGTTTGTGTAAACGTCACTGTTGCCACTTGCTCTTGTTCACCTCTGCTCATCAATATCTACTCAGAAACCTCATTTCCACTAGGGCTCCTCACCGGGGCAACCCCTTGCATCCAAGTATCTACCGGATACGATCTGCCGCATATACGATGTTTCCCGCTTGGATACATGACAACGTCAGCAAAGGTTTGGGCCTTGGGAGCTGTGCCTGGTCTAGACCAAATAGGTCATCTCAGATAAACCACTTGTTGAAGCTTCAGATCCCATCTATCAGGCAGCATCTAGGCTGTTTTCCGCCTCACCTTTGCTTCCCCCACATAAAGTGATGTGCATACAGAACAAACATGGCTTGCCTTAGTACGTGCGGGAACGTGCTGTGACTGCCGGCACATGGCTGAACACTATGAAAATGCAGAGAAGATGCAGGGGAAGAGACACTGCAGCGGATGGCTGCGCCTGCTCACTGGACAGTTGAGGTTATACTTCCAAGGGGGCCTAGTTGGGCCTTCGTATCTGATTCGAACATGGCCACGGCAGAACTCTTCCCCGTTTGGAACTGTCACCGAGAAATCACTGACCTTGCGCAGAGAACAGGAATAATCCCCAGTTGAATTCGGGTGGATCAGGGGAACGCCTCATGAACATCCAGGCTGCGTCCGTTCGCCGGTGTTCTGGTCCTGAGCTATGCGTAACCCGAGAGCTGTTTCCAAGTATCTTCAGGCGCACCACCTTTAGTTTGTCAATGTCTCTCTTCATGCACCGCAGACAGTCTAGATGATTGCGAGACACTCGGTCTATACCGTTTCCTGTTTAGCCGCCCAGACTGACCCCGTTCATCTACTGTCAATGTACGCAGTAACACGGCGCCTTTTTGTGTTCCGTCAGTTGTCGTCCGTGTCCAGGTTCCCCTTGTGACTTCAGCCCGCTTGGTCTCTGGCCGCCGTTATGGGATGTTCCAAGCGGCTGGCGAACGTATACAGCCGAACATTCTTTGTGCTGCCTTGCCATGTTTCTCTGACATTTCACAAGAAGGAGGCGGGTCCGGGATGCAGAAACCACCCACGGTAACTTTAAAAGGCCCCTTCCTTCCCATATCTGGAACTCGGAGCCATCACTCGGTATCACCAACTCCATCATTCACTCGTTCAAGTCACTCACTCACTCTTCTCCTACCAAGACCGTTCCTTAAGGCATCTCTACCATCTGTAGCCGGAACAAGGAGGATGAAGACTGCCACCTTTGCTCTCGCCTGCGCCGCCTCGGTGTCGGCTCACTACGGTGACGTCTCTTCGATCTTTGACTCATGGAGTGCTGGTACCGTCAGCTATGCTCCGAGCACGGCCCCTACCACTACTGCTACCGGTGGACCCGATAAGGGCGACGGGGGACAGTGGACAACAAGCACCGTCTACACCACGGCAGTTCATACTATTACCAGCTGTCCGCCTGCTGTTACCTTATGCCCGGCCCATAGCACCGTGGTCACCACCGTCACCATTCCGGTCAGCACCACTGTCTGCCCTGTAAGCTCCGGAGCTCCGCCACCACCGCCTCCTCCAGCTTCTTCCGGCTCTCCTCCTCCTCCACCGCAGTCTTCGATTCCTCCTGCATCGTCTGGTGGTCCCTCGGCACCTCCTCCGCCGCCACCTTCACCCCCGGCCTCATCAGGTGCTCCTTCTGCTCCTCCTGCATCGTCTGGTGCTCCCCCGGCACCTCCCGCTTCATCTGGTGCTCCTCCCGCACCTCCCGCGTCATCCGGATCTCCTTCGCCTCCTCCTCCGCCGCATCCACCCGCCAGTACCGGAGCTCCTCCAGCTCCTCCTGCCTCCACTCCACCCTCGCCTAGCAATCCAGCCAGCTCCGCTGCTCCGCCGCCACCTCACAATTCCGGCCCGTCTGCCACTGAGCCCACAGGCTCTGGCTCCAGCTCTGGCGGCGGCGGCGGCGGCGGCGGCGGACCCCCGACCGCTACCACCAGCCCTGGCCCTGTCGTCACTGCCGGCGCGTCAGTTGAGCGCGCCCATCACGCTGGCGGTGCCTTGGCTGTTCTTGCTGCCCTTATTGCCCTTCTTTAGGTGGCAGGTTTCATGCGGCCATGACAGCGACCATGGGAAGAAAAGGTGAGTAATGAAAAGTAATGGGTCAAAACGTTTTTGAATCGGAAGGTAGTTAAAGGGGGTGAGAGAGTTGAAGAAAAACTTTAGATCGAATTTCTTCTCATTCTTGGTTTAATTCGGCGACTTGGACTACTCGAGTTGCTTACAGATATGGAAGACCATCGGGTATTGTGGGGAGCTACTTCTAATGATCGATAACTTGTTTGCGGGGTTACACTTTTAGTTTATCACATACTCGCATAGTATCGTCTCAGATGATCAAGTGTGTCATAATACATTACCAGCTTGATGTAGACTGCGAATCCTTAGGTTACTTGCCCAGTGAATAATTGCAAGAACAGCCCCAGGGCCTCACCCTTGAGCAAGAGATGCACACCTGTTAGATTGTTACTACACCACACCACACCAGTCCAGACCACCCACATCTTCCAAACCCCAGGAACGCTGATCAGTCACCAAACCACGATCGACCTGACAGGAACACAGCAGATACCCTCACGCTGTGCTAAGATAGGATGGGTACCCGCCTTCAAACCATGGCCTTGTCTTACCTATGCACACCATTCATCAGGCTCATTCATTCAAGTACCCTCACCCCCCCTTACTCACCAATGAAGTTTGTTGCACTTCCAACGCTGTACCCCCTTCCACTACCGGGCCGTGCCTTTCCCTATTCGACGGGCATATTCTGTATTCCCAATTGGAAGGGGGACGACACACACTCAACTCAGGACTCTGAAAAGCAGACTGGTATGCGCAACGTTCTTAAGACTCTTGAAGAAGAAGAGTGGCGTACAAGGCATGTGGTGGACCGAGTGACGGCATGATTGATGTACCCCGGGCTGGCCCAAGTAAAGATCCAAGGTAAGTTCGAGTGCTGGTGCCCGAAACTGAAGCCGAGAATGACTGGAGTGAGTGCATGAAGTGGTCACAGGAGTTTTGGTTGGAGATGGAAAGAGGCAAGTGAGCCTGGCTACTGTCTACACATCACATTTCTCTTTGCCTCGACGAAACGTAGTAATTGTTCATTCAGGGTATCAAATTGACCTAACTCCCCTCACCCAGGCACATTTACACGCCCATCAAACCTTTGTTCCCGACCCCAACCGCCTAACAACATCCTCCACCCTTTTCGCACTCCCGACCAACTCCCTAACCACCTCTCTATCCCTCCCACTTCCATTTCCTTGCCCTCCACCACCACCAGCACCGCCACCGCCATTCAACGCAACAACCTGCACAATCTCCCCATCATCACCCATCACCAACCGTCCCGTCTGACCACCTGCCCATTCGACAGTGATTTGTTTCGCTTCGGCATCGGCGGGGATGACGTCTTGTATTTTGTTTGGGCCCTTTTCTTCTTGTTGCTCGGTTTGGTCTTGCGCCAGGATAGCCCTCCGTAGGTCCGTAATGGTTGCCAGACGGTGATGATACCGCACCAACTCCCTTCTTAAGCTTCTAGCGAACTTGACAAGGTTTTGTTCCCTCACACCACCTTGTTCTTCTTCTTCTTCTTCTTCTTCTTTGTCAGGTCGTGATGATGGCGGTGTCGGTAAATATCGCGCTGCTAATCCTGAAATCGGAATACAAGGGGGCACGGTGTGTCTATGGACTCGCAGCCAGTTTGCGTACCTCCCGCCGCCGGTGGTTGCCTTTCTGCTGCTTCTGCTCTTCTCCTTCTCTTTGCTGCTGCTGTTATTCCCCTTCCCATTCTTGGTCCCCTCCGACCAAGGTCGATTCATCAAAACATAATAGGGCCTCATGAACCTCCCGCGCGCAAAGACCTCTATCCTTAACCCGAGGACGGCTCCGCCGTCTACCGCGTTCGGGTCCGGGTCTTGCACGCGGAAGGTGGTGATGGTGGCGCAGGTCCGGTAGAGGGATTGTTGGTTGTGCGCCTTTTGGAGGGAGGCGTGGTGGCGGAGGGATTTGAGGATGGTTGGGGTGAGGCCCTTTGGTTTGAGGTGCGAGGAGGAAGGCGGGTTGGAGAGTAGGGAAGAGACAGAAGGGGAGGCGATGAGGGTGGAGGTTTGAATGCGGAGGTGGGATTTGAGGGTTGTGACTTTGGCTTTGAGAGCTTCGATCTCGGCGTCGAGTGGTGAGGGTGTCGTCGATAAAGGTGTTGGTGAGGACATGGTGAGGTTCGTGGAGGGACCCACTTTTTGGGGGTGAGCAGTGTTGATGCAGAAACAAACGCGTCTTGGTTGGTATGATGCGCAATGTGAACGATTGTACGTGTGATGATTACAAGAGAATGGAAGAGATTGGATCAATAGTGGTGAGGCCCGGGTATCATGACGTGAAAAGGGACTTCTTTGAAGCCTTGAATATTGTAGTGTAGCTGGTGACTTTGCTCCAGTCAATTGTTTACTTTGGTGGAGTTGATGTGAATCAATCCCCTTGTTAGTGATTGGGAGGAGTGAAAGCTGACAGGTCGGCAACAGCGACGGGACAGCTGTCAAGTTTAGCGATCTGCCCCTGGGTCCATGCCAATGACGCACTAGCACAGCACGTGCACAGTTCCTGCGTCAACCTGGAAAGCTGTCCCCTGGCGCGATAAGAGGTTATCGGTCCCTTCCCCACAGCGGCTGTTTCCAAAGAGGGAAGAGACCAAACAGGCAAATGCTTGTGGACAACAGACGGAAGGCCGCAAGTCACTCGTTAGTAATCAGACCCGACATCTCTTTTTCCTCATTCCTTACCTAGAGAACTGAAGAGGTTGAGCCTCTCGGTCGTTCATATTTTTGAGATTGTAGGTATGCTTCAGTTCTAGAATAGAGGGCACCAATCTCGAAACATTCATCTCTACCTTGGCTCGCGTCGTGTGTTAGAGGTGATTTGCCACCAACCGAGAGGCCACGGTAGCATGCCCGGACATTTCCTCCCCCACGATTCCACATCTTCCCACCGTCAACGTTCCACTCACCAACAGACAGGCACCAAAGCTACAGTAGCGCTTCGTTAGGGCAGTTGAGGTGATCTGATAGGGCCGGCATCCTTTCGTTACTTGTCTTTCGTCCCTTCGGTTGTCATCAATCCTTCTCGGTACCACTCTCGTCCGGACTATTCGACTCCCGCTAGTACCGACTTCTCGTCTTTCGTTAATCTCTTCGTTTTCTTGTCCTTTGCGACGGCTATTTCTGGAAATCTACCTCTCGCTTCCATCTCGACTACTTGTTGATCATCGCTCTCCCGAGACGGCCTTGACCACTCTCCAGACGCGCCGCCATTACACAAGGCTTTGACCTCGAGTAACCCACGAAACGGGTCCTCCCCCAGCGCACGCGCGCACACACGAAACCACCCGCCAACATACACAATCACAGCGGTACCTATGGGTACTAAAACTCGTGGCACAAAGTCGCCGACACAAAACGGTCTGTCCCGCAAAGCCTCCAAGAAAGGGGCCGGGAAGAAAGGCAACAACAAGACCCAAATCAAGGACTCCGACTCCGATCCTGACACCGTCGCCTCGGGCCTCCACAAGATGAACAACAACATCGAGCTTATGCGCCGGAACAAGAGCTACGACACGTCGTCCGAAGCTATCACCGCCAACATCATCGGCAGGGAATCCTTCTCCCTCGACGACCCCGTCCCAGACAAGACCGACGCCGTAAACAACCATGGCTTCTTCGAGCTTCCCAAGCAGGACCAGCGCAACTTTGGCCTGCTCGTTCTTTTATACTTCTTGCAGGGTGTTCCGCTAGGATTGGCCACGGGCTCGGTGCCGTTCCTCCTCAAGTCGAAACTGTCCTACGCCGAGATTGGTGTCTTCAGCTTGGCGTCGTACCCCTACTCTCTCAAGCTGCTATGGAGCCCCATTGTCGATGCCATTTGGAGCCCCAAGGTGGGCAGGAGAAAGAGCTGGATTCTACCCATCCAATTGCTGTCGGGAATCGGCATGCTTTACTTGGGCTCTAGGGTCGAAGGACTGATGGACACCATGGGCAAGGAAGGCGGTCCTACCGTTTGGGGCTTCACCTGGTGGTGGTTCTTCCTCGTGCTCATGTGCGCTACCCAGGATATTGCTGTTGACGGCTGGGCCCTGACACTTTTGACGCCCGGCAACGTCTCGTACGCTTCCACCGCGCAGACTGTCGGCTTGACTGCTGGCCAGTTCCTGTCGTATACTGTCTTTTTGGCTTTCCACTCCAAGGAGTTTGCCAACCGTTGGTTCCGCACCGAACCGCTTGACCACGGCTTGATGTCTCTGGGTGGATACCTTACCTTTTGGGGCTGGGCATACATTGCTGTGACTATCGGCCTGGGTCTGATGAAGCGCGAGGAGCGCACCAAGAACGAGGATGGTGTTTGGGACGTCTACAAGATCATGTGGGGCGTGCTCAACCTGAAGAACGTCCAGACCATCATCATCATTCACCTTATCGCCAAGATCGGCTTCCAGGCCAACGACGCTGTCACCAACCTCAAGCTTCTCGACAAGGGATTCGGTACCGAGAACATGGCTCTCACAGTTCTGATCGACTTCCCCTTTGAGATCGGTCTGGGATACTATGCAGGAAAGTGGTCGCAGGAGTTCACGCCCATGCGTCTCTGGTGCTGGGGCTTCATGGGTCGTCTAGTGGCTGCCATTCTCGCGCAGTTTACTGTTGTTATGTTCCCTGCCGAGGGTGTCACCTCTTGGTACATGCTGGTTGTCATTGCCGAGCACATCTTTTCCACATTTACCAACACCATCATGTTTGTTGCCGTCTCTGCCTTCCACGCGCGCATTTCGGACCCGGTCATTGGCGGTACTTACATGACTCTTCTTGCTACGTGAGTTTATCTTTCCCATCTTTTCCTGACCGAGTCTCCCGCTAACGTGTTATTTTTTTTTTTTTTTTTTTCAGCGTCTGCAACCTAGGCGGTACCTTCCCCCGCTTTTTCGTTCTTCGTCTGGTCGACTACTTTACCACCGCCACTTGCGTGCCTACTTCCAAGACGGCCACTTTCAGCCAGCCCTTCAGCTGCGCCATCCAGGAAGACAAGACGAGGTGCCTTGCCAACGGTGGCACTTGCAACATGATCCAGGACGGATACTACATTGTCAATCTCCTTTGCGTGGCGATTGGTGTGGTGACTTTTACCATGTTCATCCGTCCCAAGGTTATTCACTTGCAGGATCTCCCACTCAAGGCGTGGCGGTTGGCGTCTTCTGGCGTGGCAGCTAGCAAGCGGTGATTTCAATGAACACGCAATGTACAGCCGAGCTTAGTGCTGGGATGTAAAGACAAGAAATCAGGTGGCATAGTAATGTCTGAATATGTTACATGATAGGCATGCATGCACGAAATGAACGGGCTGTATTACTGTTTAGCTCGTATCTAGGTGGAAATATCAAAGGATTGGATAGGAATCAGGAACGTGGGGTCCATGGGCCTCAATACAGAAGCGAATGTCAAGCATGATGAGTAACGACCGTGCTTGCTGACTGTATCTGGATCATGTTGTGCTGCGGAGAAAATATCGAGGTTCCGCCGTCTGACCGAATGACTTCAACTCGATATCTAGAGAACAGGGTCGATGTTTGATAGATAACTTGTATCATCAACTGGTTTCCAGTTCCCAGATCGAACACTCGGTCGAACTGTGTTTTATAATCTAGCTATCACGGCAGCCGAAAGCCGGATCGGAGCCAAGCAGCCAAACAGGTGTGTCGTTGACAGCGGGTCCCGAGCGGGGCTCTCCCGGCATCCGGAAATCGGGGTTAACAAAGACACTACTCCAATGGGGAACCATTTGTTTATCTTTCTCGCTCATCAATATTTCCAAGGTTGGTCAACTAATCCATCAAACTTACTAAGGCCGTGATACCCCTCAATCTCACCATGCGAAGAGCAACATTGGCATCACTGGGCTTACCAGCATGATGGACCCTCAAAACTTGGCGGTTACTTAAAGACGGACATCTCGAGCGGACATATCACAAACTACATGTAAACATGATCGTGTAGTGTTCCTCCATCCACTCAACCACAATCACCATGCTACCCTCTTTCCACCACCCCAAAGCCCTCCTAGGCAAAGCCGCCCTCCTCTCCCTCCTCTCATCAGCAACATCCGCCTTCAACCCGCTTCCACCAATACCAGACACCCTTCTCAACCAACAACAAGTCCCACTACACCTCAACCCCCCCTTCGACATCCGCGAAGCCACCATCTCTTCCATTCACAACGCCCTCTTCACCGGCCTCACCACCTGCCACGCCCTCATCTCCTCCTACCTCGCCCGCATCGAAGCCTTCAACCCTTTTCTCCACGCCATCCTGTCGCTTAACCCTCACGCCCTCGACCTCGCTTCCACTATCGACGCTCACCTCACTTCCAACAACTCTTCCTCTCTTGTTAACCAACCCCTCCTATGCATCCCCGTCCTCCTCAAAGACAATTTCAACACCAACGAAATGCCCACAACAGCCGGCTCTCTCGCCCTTGCACAAAACACCCCCTTACACGACGCTCCCACCGTTTCGGCCTTCAAGAAAGCAGGCGCCATCATCCTAGGCAAAACGAACATGCATGAGTTCGCGCTGGAAGGGATCTCTGTATCTAGCTTAGGCGGACAGACGCTCAACCCGTACGACTTTACTCGCACCCCCGGTGGGTCGTCGGGGGGCACGGGTGCCGCACTAGCTGCTAATTTGGGGGTGTTGGGGACGGGGACGGATACGGTGAATTCGCTACGGTCGCCGGCGAGTGCGAATTCCTTGTGGAGTTGGAGGCCGACGAGGGGGTTGGTTTCTAGAGAGGGAGTGGTGCCGGTGGGGTGGACGCAGGATGCTGTGGGGGGGATGGCGAGGGGGGTAGAGGATTTGGGGGTGTTGATGACTGTGATGGGTATGGCGAATGGTGAGGGGGGTGAAGGGGGTGATAATGGTGATAATACTACGGTGTTGGTACCGCCTGAGATCAAGGGGAGGGACTATTCCAAGGCTTTGTATGGTGGACTGGGGAAATTGAATGGATTGAGGTTGGGAGTGTTGAATGGATTCTTCAACCATACGGCTTCTGAGGAAACGACGCCGGTGAATGAGGTCATGGCAAAGGTGCTGAGGAGGCTGGAGGTAGCTGGTGTGCAGCTGGTGAATATCACCGAGTCGGTGTACGATGTCGTGGCGATCGCGGCAAAGCTGGATGTCCAGACTTTTGAGTTTCGCGAAGGGTTGGATGCTTATTTGGAAAAGACTACTTACACGGACGGCGACGGCAATGGGACTGGACCAAGGAGTTTCAACGACGTTTACACCCTCGGCAAGAAGCAATTCGTGGTTCTTCCTTCGCAGTACGACTATATCAGGAACGCATTCAACAGATCTACTGCCTCGCCGAAGTACTTTGTTCGGCAGTATGGGATTCAGCAACTCAAAACCGCTCTGGCACAAACGTTCTCAACCAACAAGCTCGACGCTGTCATCTACCCTGAGCAAAAGAACCTGGTCGTCAAGATAGGGAGTCCCTCGCAAAGCGGACGGAACGGGATCCTCGCCGCGCTGACGGGGAGTCCTGTCATTACGATGCCTGTGGGATTCTCTAACGCAACGGAGACCGCTCCGCTGGGGGTTCCCATTGGGATGGAGATCTTGGGAAGGCCGTGGACGGATGACTTGCTGCTGGGTATTGCGAAGCATGTGGGCGAGGCGCTGGGGCCGGTGAGGAGGATGCCAGTGGGCGGAGGGTTGGACAAGGTGGTGGAGGTTCAGAGCAGAGGGTATGAGAAGGTGCCGGTGGTAAAGACAGATAATGGGAATATCCCGGGGGTTTATCCGTTGGGGGTTTATTAGGGAGGGTTTGTGAGAGATCCCGGTTTATGGTTATGCGCAGAAGGCGTCGATTATGTCTGATGGCACGGTTAATATGAGCGAAGGGAAATACCAGTTCTGTTGTTGCTCCGGTAACTCGAGTAAAACACATACCAACCTGTCCTGAACACCGCAATGGTACTTTAAAATGCATAGCTAACAGCTGAAAACAAATCATCAGGATCTAATTTGACATATGCATTCTAAAAATTGTAAGCCGCCAGTATGGGGAAAAAAAATATATCAACTTGTTGAGGAAATGCTTGGACATATCGACCAGAGGTCTTGAGCTAACAGACTTTCCAAGTATGTCTTGTATTGATGAGCATAGGATATGCTTTCTTCGACTGTCACATCTACCCATGATTCTTCTCGCCGCTCGCACAGAATAAACCACACAACCCACCACCGTTGCTCACCCTCGTCCGTTAGAAACTCTCAAAGTACACTCTAACCCCCTTACTCCCTCTATAAGGCACAGGAATGAACCAGTCCTCCGCCATCTCCGCATCTCTAACCGTCACTCCCTCAGCCAACCTCAACCTACCCACCGTCCGACCATCTCTTCTTCCCTTCTTTTCTTCCACCTCCTCCTCCTCCTTACCATCCTCCTCCTCCCCGCCACCAACCTGCGGCCCACCCTCCCAAACCCTCCACATCTTACTCAACATCAAATACATCTCCGCATACGCCAATTGCATCCCCAAACAAACCCTCGCCCCGTGTCCAAACACCGCCATGTACTTCTCCAGCCTCATCTCATTCTCCTTCCCCGACCACCTCTCCGGCACAAAAGCGTGCGGATCCGGAAAGATCTCCGGGTTCGTAGTAATCTGATAGCTCGTCATTGAAATCTCCGTCCCAGGAGGAAGCAGCCACTCCTTTTCCTTGTCTTCTGTCGTCTTCAGCTGGTCTGGATAGCATCGCAGACATAACTTGGAGGGCTTGAACCGCAGTGTTTCGTCAGGCGCCACGCGCGTGGTTCGACCCGATGCGCCAACGCTGAGACGCATGCTCTCCTTGATTACTGCGCGGAGATAGGGGAGTTGTTCGAGTCGAGCAAGCTCGATGGGCTCGTTGGCGTCATCGGGGAGGGCTTCCCTTAACTCTTTGCGCAGTTTGGCGAGAGCTGTGGCGTGTTGGTCCAGAAGGTGGAAAGTTGAGATGGTCAGGGCCCATGAGGTGGTTACTGTGCCTGCTTGCACAAGGACCTGGCCTTCTTGGGCAATCCGCGGTACGGACTTTTCGATAGGAGGGAGTGCTTCCGTGTTGACGAAGGAGTGGAAGATGGTGGGATGGGGGATGTCGAGGTGGGCGTTCTTGCCTTCCTCGGAGCGGAGAGACTCTTCGATTTCGCCGATCTGGGCCGTGATGCAGGCGCGGAGGTGGAGGAAGGTGCGGTAGAAGGGGGAAATGGCGGCGAGAATCCTTGGTGGGATCGAAGCGAGGAAGGGGACGAGGAAAGGGAAGTGTTGGAAGATTTTCCCGTAGTTGGAACCTGTCAAGATCGCGTTGGTGATCTCGGCGCGGAAGTCGGGGTCCTCCACTACAGAGCTGTCAGCACAACAGCGTCTCGGGCAAGTCGTTGTTGGAGTCTAGTGGTAGATGACTGACCAGCATGCTCAGATTTGGCAAAGCAGTATTCACTGATGATGTCTATCACATCACCGTCAGCAAAGGTTTTTTTTTTTTTTCTCGGGAATTATGCCGGCGAACTGAACACTTACCGTAAGACGTAGCCGAATACGCATACATCATATTCAACGGAATATCCTTCTTCGTCTTCCCATGCTCTCGAAGCCTGGCCAACAATGCATCAACCCTCTCCTCGATAACCGGCTGTAGCGCTCTCGTGTTTTGCGTCGAAAAGAAAGGGCCAACCGCTGATCTCCGAAGCTTATGGAGATCATGATCATTGGTAGCCACGATACTTTCTGTTTTCAGGTTCCAGCCATGTTCCCGCGTTAGTAGCTTTGCTTTCTTCTAGCCCTCGTCCGAAATCCTACCCACCAAAAGAAGAAAAGAAAGAGAGGGGAGAGAGAAAAGAACATACCATCAGCCCCAAACTGCTTCGTGAAAAACGGCGTCCGATGTCTCCGTCGATTTGTATTTGTTGGCAACAACACCCTGTGGAAATCTGGATCCGCAATGTGTACCTCCCACGGGTTGATCCGGATAATGGGCCCGTACTGCTTGTGCAGCTCGATGATCTTGAAGGTGTACTGGCCGTGCAGGATGACTTCGTAGTAAAATTCGTACCATTGTGTCAGCGCGGCAAGTCGGGGACCGGGGATGTCGGCGAGAGGACTGAGGTAGAGGCGGTAAATAGCGATGTAGATGGTATAGAGGGTGAGTAAGGAGAGGAGAAACATGATGAGGAGGGGTTGAGTTGGGGAGGAGAAGGTGATGGTGGTGAGGCGGGGGAGAAAGGCTGTTGTTGAGGCCATTGTTGTCCGAGGATTTGGAATCACGGCCGCATAATACGTTGAGGGTTCGAGGAACAAAGGGGGTTGGATAGCAGATCTGTTCAACGTTAATTTCGCAGAACAGGATGGGGAAGGAGAGGAGTATGAAGGACACCGGAAATGTCAAACGAGCAAAGTTCATACATACCTACTTTAGCCGAAGGAGCAAGCCTCATTCGTGGCAGCTGCCATGCCATAGACGTCAAACCGGTGAGGAGCTGAATGAGGTGTCATCCATCGTCCGTGGTTGTCAAGCTTATTCTAGAAGGGAAGTTCAGCTCAGCCCAATAGATCAAGACGTGACATTTCTGGATTTACATACATACGCCGCTATCTCCAGAGCGGCAGTTACCAAGTTCACATAGCAACCCAAGTCTGAGTGGCATTCACAAACCGAGAGGTCGAGGCGGAATGGCGTCAACAACTTCATTGGTCCTCCATCCTTATTATCATTATCCGTGTGACACCCGAGCACGCCAGCTTACCGGCATGTTACCCGGAAACCGTTCTTGTGCGACGCGCCCGCTCTCTTATCGTTCAATAAACGGCCCGTTCCCTTCTTCGGTCCTGGTAATCATCACAAACAGCTCGCTTTCCTCCGTCTTAAACCCACCCTATCTGGGTACATCACATCAGCTTCCTCCACGACCACCACCACCCCATTACAACCCCCTCCTTTGAGAAATCTCACTTTGGTTCAGTCTTCGTTGCTCCCACACATTTCCCCGAACAATCCCAGCAAAAAGGGCATACAACTCTGAATAAGGTGTAAGATTTAAGGTGTAAGAAATACATCGCTGATAGGTATATGTGTGTATGTATGTATGTATGTGAAAAGAAGCCAGGTAATTATGTGCGTGTATCTCTCGCTTCCTCTTGTATACCCCTTCTTCGTCCCCTCCTTTTGTATTCCCATCCAGTTCCATTCCTGTTTTCCCTGCTCCTGTCTTCATCGTCTTCGTCTCTATCATCTCTGCATGACGACATTGTCCCATTCTTTCATTCTTATACGTGCAAAAAAATTCTGTGCGAACAAAAACAAGGTGATCTGAAAGGTCGAAGAAACAAAAGTAAAAGAAATCAGTCCAAGCCTCTTCATTGTCAAGAGGCCTATTTACCACAATACCCCTTCAGCCTCTCTCCGTCCCTTCTTTGCTCCTATCCACGCTCCTCTACCACCCTTCAATCATCCTCAAAAAACCCATCATCATCAAAATCCTCCACCGGCGACGCGTCGCTATCGTACATGCCGCCGGACCTCGTCATCGGAGGAGCCATCATAGGTGAAGAGATATTCCTCCGATGCTGTTGAGCTTGAGCAAACGAAAGAGTCGAGGGGTCAGGTGAAGGCGAAATAGAAACCTCCAATAGCTCCCTTTCACTTGCCTCCTCCTCAGCCACCCGCTGCGGCTGCTGGATATGCATAGACGCCGAGGACGGCCCTCTCGACCTCTGCTGCTGCTGATTCTGGCGCAGTGCCCTTTTGGATAGTTCTTGAGGAGTGAACCTGCGACCGGTGGCTGAGAAAGCAGTTGGTTGAGGTTGTTGCTGGGCTTCGGCTGTAGACCTGCCCGTCGATACGGACGCGTTGGAAGCTTTGCGCAAACCGGCGGATCCAGATGTGAGGGGCGTCGGGTTCCCGCCAAGGAACCCAGAGGCTGGCTTCGACGGCGTGACGTTACGGCTCTGCGCAGGAGACGCGGACAAAACACTGCTCAAGCTGCCGAAAGCCGGCAGGTCCTTGCCCTTCCTCCAGTTGCCCCAGGCGGCTGCCAAAGGACCAACAGCCTGCGCAACACGCGGCGTGGCCGCCTCTCTGATCGTAGCAGCAATGTTGGGTAGGTTGATAGCCGACCCGCCGTTCATCGCGCGCTCACGCTCCTGCTCCTCCATCTGAAGGTTGGCCTTGAGCCTGATAGCGGCATCGCGGACCGCGTCCTTGTCGTAGTTGTCACTGGAAAGAGCACCAATAATGTCCTGCAGATCCGAGTGGCGCACAGCAAGGAGCTCGCGGAGCCAGATGATCTCGTCGTCGCGCTTAGAAATCTTGGTCTCAGCTTCGGGGTCGGCCTTCTCGAGTTGTTGCTCGAGTTCTTCGATGCGAAGCTCGCGGGCTTGGAGCTGCTCCTGGAGGACCATGACGGACTCGCGGAGAGCTTGGGGCGAAATTCTCTCGGAAGGCGGGACATCGTTGGGGGTGGACTTGGACACCGCGGGATCCGCCGGAGTACTGGCCACAGAAGCCTTGGCCGCTTGAGCGGCGGCACGGGCAGCTTCCTTGGCAATCTCCAGCTTCTCCTCGACATGCAACAGTTTGTCCTGGAGATGCTGGGCCTTGGATGTCTCGATACTCAAGCGATCCAAGAGGTTCTTCTCCGTCCGTTGGGCGTCCTCAGTGGTGTTGTTGAGTTGACGCTCATAGCGGGTCTGAAGATCCTCCACCTCGTTCTGATGCTTGCGCATGAGCTCATCAAGTTCCGTCTTCTTTGAGTTCTGAGCCTCCTCAAGGAGCATGTCGTGCTGAGCCTTGGCTGTGTCGGCGTCCAACTTAACCTGGTCCATCTGGGATCTGAGTCTGTTAAGCTCATCTTCAAGCTCCCTGCGGACAGCGTTAACTTGATGGTTGGCTTGCTCAACCTCTGCTTGCATGGCATTGCGAGTACGCGTTATTTCGCGAGCAGCGGACTCCCTAGCTTCCTGAAACTCAGCCTTGAATCGCAAAGCGCTCTGCTGCAACTTATGGTTCTCAGTGCGCATCTCCGCAAGCAACAGCTCAAGTCTCTTGCACTCCGCAACAGCCCTCATGCCCTGCCGCTCGTTCATCTCCAGCCTCTCCAGCTCGGTCTCGATACGTTCACGAGTTCTAGCCTCAGCCTGCAGCTTGGCATCCAGGACCTCCTGACGGGCAATCAACGTCTGCTCCTTCTTGGCGCGCCTGGCGTTCTCCTCGGTGATTTGCCGAGCAGCGTGAGCCATCTCGTCCTGAAGGGCAAGGAACTTGGTGCGCCAGCTGTCGCGGACGCGCTCGTTCTCCTGGACCTGGGTACCAAGAGTATCGATCAGCTTATGCAAAGCCTTGTTCTCGTCAAGAGCCTTGCTAAGATCAGCATCACGACGCTTGGCAAGCTCGCTGACTCTATCAGCCTCAGATCGCCAGTGCCGAGCTTCTTGCCGAGCAGTCCGAAGATCGTTATCCAGCATGTTAATCCGATTCTGCGCTTCGCTCCTAGACTTTTGGGTGTGCTCGGTGCCGGCTTCCAACTGCGTCAAGCGCATGGCAACCTTGTTGTTAGCGGCCTCGATGGCTCTAATCTTGTGGTCCTTCTCGTCGACCTCCTTCCTGAGGCGGCCCTCTTCCTCTGTGGCGAGCTTCAATTGGCGTTGGACTTCGGCAAGCTTGTCTTCGGCAGCTCTCCGGCCCTTCTGCTCCTTCTCAGCCTGTTCTTCAAACTGGTGGGAACGGTCCTCAAGGTCGGCGATCCGTTGGTTCAAGGCGCTCTTGTTCATCATCTCGACCTCAATCTTGGTCGCAGCAGACTGGAGCTCACGGGTGAGATCCGACGCACGGTCCTCGGCAGCGCGCCTGGCCGCAATCTCCGTCTCCACCTTGGCCTCCTGAGAGCGGAGTCGCTCCTCGAGTTCCAGGACGCGAGCCTGAAGGTCAGTGACCTTGGCCTCCTTGGCTTGATCCACTGCAGGCTCAAGGCGGTCATGCACCACTTCTTCAACAATCTTCCTGATGTCTTCGCTGTTGGTCGAGGAGACCTTTGGCTGAGTAATCTGAGCCTTCAACTCTTCAAGGACCTGAAGGACGTCAGGCCGATCGCCAAAAGTCGACTTGGCAGAGGAGGACGTTGGCCTGGTTCTTTGCTGAGAAGCGAGGGCTTCCATAACAGCAACCTTGATTTGCTCCATCTTACGGTCCCTACGCGGGCTGATGGAACGGCGAGTGGTAGGCAGATCATCATCCTCGTCATCGGCGTCGCTATCGCGGACGTCAGCAGAGGCGCTGCGCACATCTCGGCGGTTTGAGACAGCTCTCCTCGAGATAGCAGCCAGAGAGTGCTTAATGGTATCAAGAGTCTGTTCTAGTGGGCCAAGACGGCTATCCAGGATACCGCCAACAACTTCATTGACCTGCCCATTGAAGAAAGTGACACGGGACTCCAGCTTTTCCTGCTCATCCTCGGTGAAGTCGCCGTTCCAGTCGCTAACTGGCACGTCCTCACTGCCATTGAGGCGTTGGACAGGTCCCTCAATGAGCTGCGCACTGGTGGGCGGGTCGAGGAAGGGATCCTCCAGCTCGGTTGTGGGAATTGGCTGTGACGGCTGAAGAGTGAGACCGGTGTACTTGCGCGGAGCCGGGCTAGGACTGCGAAAGTGATCTTCAGCTTGACGGTAGGACGATGAATCTGCAACTGCCTCCAAAGGAGTGGGGTGAGTCGGGTTGGGCTGGTGCCACTGGGTTTGACCACCACTATCAGTGGGCTTTTTGATTCCCATGTCTGGGTTAGCACTGAGATGGCGCATGACCGCATCAATGTCGTCAAAGCTGGGTTCTGCAGTCGTTGTAATGCTCATGCTCTCCTTCTTCTTGGACCCTTCGCGTCTAGGCGGTGGTGGTTTAGGAGCCCATCGAGAAGCAGCGAGCCCCTTAGTAGGCTTCGATGGCACAGTAACCACGTCAGGCTCTGCAGGTACCTTTTCCGTGTGATCTACCTCCGCAACTTCTACAACAGGCGTCTGCTGAGGTGGCTGTTGAGAAGAGCCGGTAGCGACATCTGTAACTTCCATAGGCCAAGTCGATATTCCAGGCACAAAGGCTGAAGCAGTCGCAGAGAGAGACTTCTTGTGACCATGAGTAGCCGCATCGTCGCTGAACGGATTAGGATCCTTGAGCTCTGAGATAGTCCAGTTCAAAGACATAGGATCCGCAGCCTGCTCTAGCGGGCTTACCGTAGCCTGGGTATCCGTCGTCTCAG